ATTCCTTCAGTTTTGCAGAACTTCCAGGTTCTTGTGAGAATACCAGTAGAGATGTATATATTAACCAGTAGAGAGGAAGAATCTGATGAGTTTCGGCCACCAGCCAGTTTAATTCCTCAAAACATTTAGAATGACGTTACTAGCAGCTTGCCCATTTATAAGTCTTAGAAAAAAAGTCGACTGAAAGCTCAGTAGACGTCCATGCTATGAAGCTTGAACGTCTGGATTCATGAAGAGATTTTTTTTTATATAATTATTTTATTTTTTTAAGTGCAATATAAACCTAAAAAGTGTTTATAGGTTGAAAGATTGAAATCAACAGGTCGTTTGATTTCCCAGCCAACTGAAAGCCTGGTAAAACAGCAGTAACTTCCATGACTTTCCAATCTGAAAGATGGACACGATGTTAATATTGGGCAGAATAATTGCTAATAATTGGCTAATGTGAATAACGCCATTACTAATTAACATGATGAATTTTAAAGGCACAGCAATAGAAGAAGAAGGAGAGATTTAAAACATTCCTGAACTACATGCTGAAATATGGAAACAAAACGCTTCTGGGCGACTTCAGACAACTTAAAAATTAGGTTACTATGATTTCACACGACACTAAAGGCACATGTTAAATAGAAAATATTTTACTTTTCTTACAACAAATTTAAAAGATATTCTACCAATAATCTTCCCTGTGTATAATCTGAAATGTCCATCCATCCATTTTCTAACACCCCTGTGGGGTCAGGAGGTTCTGGGGCCCAATGGGCGAGAGGCGGGGTCACCCTGGACATGTCATAATCTAAAATATTCAATCGTGAAGTAAAACAGACGGGATTAAAATAAAGATGAGTATGTCTGAAGTATCTTTGGTCATCAGCATATTTATTTAAATAAAATAAATGCAAAAAGTCATCTGTTTTAACTCTATGGACCTTTGTTAAAATATCCATTAAATTAATTACTTTTTTTTAAAAAAGAGTTTTAGATTGATGTGATTTAGCTAATCAGCTTGTTAAGGATGTTTTCACATTGGGTGACACAGTCATAAGTTCAGTGCTGAACTAAACACGCACTCACACACGCACACACACACACCCACACACACACACACACACACACACACACACACACACACACACACAGTGAGGCGTAGATGTTTGGTTTCCTCCAAGCATTCTGCATCATCGTCGCAGGCGATTCTGTTTCTGGATGAAACTCGCAGGACCGTGCTCCAAAGGCCCACCAGCGCTTCCATTCAAAACACACCTGGTCAAGTTTGAAAACATGATTAGGGGGATTTTAATTAGATGCAATTAGAGGTGGCGGTGGCCATGCAGAGACCTGGACGCAACAACTGCTTTTTCAGCTGAAGGGAAAAAAAAAAACAAAAAAAAGATGTCCCAATTAGGCCAGAGGCTACTTTTATTCATGTGACCTGTGGAGGCCCTGAGCAAGCCGCGTAACGTCAACCACTCCCAACAATTGCAAATGGGATTCATTTGAATGACATAAACACCATCGTGCCGCGCCGCGCCAGGACGAGTCGCCTGGTGAAACCCTGAAAAGCTTCTGTGAAAGGACAGACAGCAACAGGTGGCCGCCGGAGATCCGCCTGGTAGGAGAAACATTGAGCAGAATCTCCCTGCACATATAAGGTAAAACACAGACATGCAAATTAACAGTGACCCAAAGAACAGGGATTTTTATTTATTATTATTTGTTTGTTTTTGTCTTTTGTGGTGCAAGAATTGCTCTCTCTCTTGCATTTCTCTTTCCATTTAACTTACCCCAAAACATTTAAGTTATTTTTTTTTTAATCTTTTGACAAACCCCCCCTCCCCCCCCCAAAAAAACACTAGAGTCTTTGAGAGAGATTTTTTTGGGGACAAAAAAAAAAACAAACAAACAAAAAAAAGTCCAATCTCCAAATCCAAATATTTGAAAAGAGAGAATAACAGCAACAGTGAATTGTTCCCTATTTAGCCAGGACACCCAACACAAAGCCTCTTTAAGGATCCCTAAAAACCCTCAAGGACTCCTAGTGGATCCTTACAACGGGCAGCAGCACTCTAACAAAAAGATGCTCATAGTTCGTCCTGTGACAAATTAGTTCTAGACACTTTTCATACAGCCCAATTTATATGCCATTTGAGTCACTTAGACCAAACTGGTCATCACACGTGAATCATTTTCTTTGCAGCTGCTCCATTTTTTTTAAAAGCCTATAGGCACCCTAGGAAAAAAGAGGAAGGAAAACACACACATACACACACACGCACACACACACACCCACACCCACACACACACAGCAAAAGGAATGACAGCTCTATTATAACCTCAGCTGTTGCAGGAGAAAGTACAGGACTAACCTGCGCTTTAAATAAAAGCTACTCTTTCTTTAAGAATCACAGCTTGAATGTGGAGTTTCTTGAGTGGATTTTACTTTCTGTTCTGAGCTGCCTGAGGTTGCGGCTCCTTGCCGGGCTCCATGTCTGTGCAGCGTGTTGTAAAATTTGAGCCGTGTCAGAACATGAGCTGCTGACTTCCTCTGTGTGAGTCTGTGCCATGTTTAGAAAGAGATTCAGAAAGAAAAACTGAAAGTCCGACTGGAAGGAGGAGGAGAGGAGAGTAATGTGACTTCTCCAAATCCCACATGGACCCAAGAGCTATAAACTATGTGCGGAAATACGGTTTGATGTTGGTATTTTGGGCTTTTAGTTGGCGTATGCTCTGAAACAAACAGCATGGCATTAAACATGTGTATTCAATCAGACATTCTGAATGCTAGATATGAATGGAAATGGTTTCAGATGAGATTTGGTCTGGGATGATGGGCTTCGGACAAAGAGTTTGTGGTGAACATCTGCACTTCTGTCTTTCCCCGGTGTAGCACATCCTATTCTTTGTTTCTTCCTTTTGAGCCACACAACAGACACACAAAGAGTCCAATTTGGTCACCAGTTCCCTCACACATGCTTGATTTCCTGCACTGGAACGGTGGGCCACCCTGGAGCTCGGGGGGTTTGTGGGCCCTCAGACCAGCCGGAGGCCCCCCAACCAGAACAACGTCTTCAATGAAAAGCGAAAGTTAAGACGGTAAAGGAGTGTGCTTCAATTTGTGGAGAAAAGTTCACTTTTCATCTATTTGTTTGCTGGTTATGATTTGTTTGTTGTATGTGCCTGTGTGGATGTTGTAAAAAAAAAAAAAAAAAAAAAAAAAACTAAAAATGAATAAATAAAATAAACAGCTTTTATTATTATTACTATAACAATTTATTGATTTACACAAGCTGAACCAAAAGCCTACCAAAATTTAAAAAAAAAACAAGGGGAGGAGGAGGGTAAAAATAAAATTTAAAAAATCTCTCTATTCCCTTCTTATACTTTAAATATCAACCATTAAAAAGCCCTGCGTAATTTGCTTCTTCAATCTGGATCATCTGAAGGGTGTTTGTGTGTCTGAGTGAACAGGGGCAGACGCAACAAAAGGCTGACGACGCGAGGCGCCGTCATCACTTCCACACTGCTGACAGACATCAGCAGCCTGGACACGAACTGAGGCTGAGAGTCACCCAGAGGTCAGAGGGCACAAACAGGTAGAGCTGAGAACTGGTCAAACCTCACGGCACGACTCGGGGTTTCTACATGAGAGATCTTTGGAATAAACTCCTAAATAATAATAATAATAATAGTTATTATTATTATTATCGCACCAAACAAAAAAACATTCACAGAATTCCACAAAAATAAATGTGCTCTTCAGTTAAGTCTGATATCAATAAAAAAAAAAAGATACAAGAAATTTTTAAATTTATTTATTTATTGCGATCGAAAAGCAGAAGGGATGTCCCGCGATGACATGTCCAAATGAATCCTGACAGGAAATGTCAAATTAAAAGCAACGACTTCCACTTTCGCTTCCGCTGGACAACTTTAGGGTGCGAGGAAACTGCCGAGGCCTTTCAGCTCAACAGAATAAGAAGTCAAGAACAGGCGTTTAGTTAATAATAAAAATAACAACAATAATAGCAGAAATGATAGTGATTACTAATGGTGTGCATAAACATGACATCACCTGTCATGATGATGAAAGAGCCTTTATGAATGTTTGTTTGTTGTCATGAGGTAAATAATGACACTTTTAATGCAAAGTTGACACTTTTAATAGTCTTTAATACAACTTTTGTATTAAAAGTGAAACGTGTCTTCATGTTCATGATCGTTGTTATGTCATGTTTAAGACAGTGTTGTCCATCAAATAAGTGTCACAATAATAATAATAATAATAGTAAAATATTAAAATGTTCCTATTACATTTGCTTGTAAAGCCTCCGTTTGGCAGCAAGAAAGGGAAGAAAACAAGACATTTCCAGAACATTCTTCTTCCGCCATTGTCAACACGCTCTTTCATTGGCCCTGCAGCGTGTTGACAATCACTAATAATGGGAGGAATTCTGTCCGGCCGTCGCGGCCTTGCAGGGATCAGCGATGAGGCTGGATGCGCATCGGAGCAATCACAGCCCGCAGTAATGGGTTTGACACCGGCCGTAATGAAAAGCAGTCAGGGTTAAGGCCTTCCAAGCCACGCCGCGGGGCGTCCTCACTCCAGGAATATTCATTCACCTTTGTTGTTGTTGTTGTTGTTGTTGTGATCGGTTGTCATGGTGTTTTCCCCCTAACGCGGCACCTTTGCATTGTCACGCAAATGTACCGGGACGACTCATTTAAACGGACGAGCAAAACCAGACTCGGCCAGTGGATGAAGCTTTTTGATGTTCTGTTGTGTTAATATTTACTGGGATGGATGTGAGACAGGATTAATGAGTGTAACTTGTTCACAAGAACGTCCCTGTTCATGTTTTGTCGCGGCTCATAAACAAAACCTGCAGTTTGCTGCGAATGATAATTGACCCCGCTGACTCAGAAAAAAAAGAAATAGAAAAAGAAAAACGATCGCAGTACTCGACTTTGACTTCCCATGCGCCCGTGTTCACCTGTGCATTATGTTTCCATGGTAACGCACAACATTAACTCCGTTGGAACCGGTCGAATTTGTGTGTGTGTGTGTGTGTGTGTGTGTGTGTGTGTGTGTGTGTGTGTGTATTTGTGTGTGGGAGAGCCGGTTGGACAAAAAATTAAATAAGTATCTACGTCAACGTCAAGCAGCCCCCTCGCCCGGAGAAGATGGCGGAGGAGAAGATGGACATAAACAAACTGAGGCTCGCGGCGGCCGAGTTTTACCGGAAGAACGGAGTTCCGGCGACGATCGAGAGGATTCTGAACGAGCTCTTCGTCCGGCAGCCCGCAGACGTTCATGGCTACCTGGTAGGAGGTTAGTTTGTTCTCCCCGCTGAGGGGGGCAAACCGTCACAACTCACAACTCCGATTATAAAGCCAGTTAATAGGAGATAAAAGCCACAACTGTTTGAGTCACTCTAAATATGTCTCATTATCAAGTATTTCTATTATTGGGACCCGCCATAGAATTACATAGCGAACGGCTGCCATTGTAACTGACACCAACCGCCGCTCCGTTCGGGAGAGAAACGAAGTGACTTTTTTTTTTTAAGTGAATTAGTTTTGGCTAATTTTAGCTAATGTTTTTGGCTAAAATTAACCACAACATTAGCATTTTGGCTGATTTTAGCTTATGCAGTAATTTTAACAGGCTGACGCAAGTCCATTCTAATCAGAATGCTTGTGATTATACACGTGCTACTTAATATACTCTAGCTAAACTTAGCATTAATGCTAATTTTTGGCTTCAGAACCGACAGGCGCACGTTGGCAGGACCGTTTAAATGTCGTCAGAAAAGTTTTAGTTAAAAATGCCATTCCGGTGGGAAGAGTATGCGTGGCAAAATTGCTGCACATCTGGAATGCATTGGAGCTCGGGGTTTTTTGTTGTTGTTTTGTTATGACAGCTGTCATGCTAGCATCAAAACAAAAACCACAGTAGGAAGAGAGACTTTAGAACTATGTAGCCATAGTCAGACTAACAGTAAAGATATTTACTACATGAAACTGGAATCTTAATTCCTTTATATAAATATTGTTTTAATTTTTGTAATTAGGAAAAAAAAACTAGTAGTAATTTAAAAATTTTTGGAAATGCAACACCCTCTCGTCAGATTACCAGAATTAGTAACCTTAAAAAAAAACCAAGCCATATTTTGCTGTTCAAACATTGTGAGTATTACACAATGTCTGAGAGTATTAGAATTGAGAACTATTTTTTTCTCTGTGTTTTTAATCTTTACAAATAAGCGATTGCCTTTGAGTGCGACATTTTTGTTAAAACAAATACTTTCCTTCAGGCTGATGCCTTTTTGAAACTGTCTACACCACCAAGGATCAGTGATCTGAGAGGAAGAGACGTTTTTTCAGGAAATGGACAGCTTATCGTTGAGGCAGAGATTTTCAGCATCGTCTGTAACAAAGAAAAGGTAAAAGTATTTCAGAAGCCATCCACCACGTCCACATAGATGAAGAACAAGGCGGTTGTCAAATAATCACAAGGTTAGATTATTTTAATATGTCACAAAATTATGATGTCTCACTATTCTTTGTTCCATTGATCCCATTAATCCCAAATAGGAGTCTTAATTTCCCTTTTTTTATACATTCAGTCAATTTGTCTAGGTTAAAATCTGCTAATCTTTTAATCACAGCAGGATATTGTTGAGGCCGGTCATAAAGGACAGAACTTTTAACAAAAAATAAAAAAAGAGGTAAAATTGAATTCCAGAATGCACTCTATTCACCTTCTTTTCTTTTAAGCAAAATCAAGGTGTAAGATGACTATGATCAAAAATACTTTCTTCCTCTTTGGTGCATCATGACTTCATTGGGGGGACACATTAAAATCCTCTTCCCCACTCGCCAAGTAAAAGACTTCGTCTTTGAAAAAGCTTCGGATCCAAGCTACATCTACCACTCTACCGTTTTGGGCATCTGGTGACTAATATCCCAACTGAAAATGAGTCTGAGGCTGGCTTCAGGTGTCCTGGGAGCAGAGGAATCACAGCTCCACACATGGTGCCCTGGCCAAGCCGAGCCCTTCTCCAGCTGCTGCACACAGAGTGACCGCGACGAAGGCTTCCCTCTTGATCTGGCCCGACAAAATGCCACAACAGCTTATGTTTTGAGCAGTATCATAAACCATGCTGCTCAAAAGAAGTAAAGGAGTTGTGTCACGAAGATCAGTTAGGAGATAAGTTGTTCTCTGCGGTGTGTTTTTGCATTCCTGATGCTTGTCGAGCAGAGCTGAGACTATTGGTGATTCTAAGCTTTGAGCACTAATAACATTTTATTGCTATTTTTCTTTTTTCCACTTTCTTCACTAAACTATGCATGCATAGTTAATCTCCAGAACAACTGTGAAATTAATTGTATTTATGTATAGCTAGATGTTAGGGGCAGCACGATTGATACACTGAAAGTGATACACTGATACACCATTTTTAAAATACCAAAAAACCATCAAACAGAGCGAATTCTGTTCATGAACTAGTTCATTCTCTTGTTCAGAGCATGTCATCAGCAGCCATCGTAAGTCATTTTGCACCGGTGGGAGCTGAAGAGAGTCAGAGGAGCTCTGAGTATGTGGACGTCGCTCTTCAGTGGATACAGGAACCGTTCAGGGGACTGCTACTGGACCAGAACCCCTGTGATCAATATGAAATTGATCAAATGCTGAGGTAATGACTCCACCTGTTTTCAAGTTAACAAATGACAGCTAACGTAACAAACACAGGAGGCTTTTTTAGGGGTCTATTACCAGATGGAAAGGAGGGAGGGTCGATTGAGGTCTTTAATGTTGTCCTGTTAACAGTGAATGGGAATTTTAAAAACTAATTTGGTTTCTGTCTATTGCACTCCACAACTTCTCTGCTTTAATGCTGCTAAATCCTACGCCGAGTTCCTGAGATGTTTTAGAAATGTCGTGTTTCTATTGACGGCTAAATTTTAACTTGTGTTATTCCTGGCAGTGATTTCTTCACGTCCTACCGTGAGGAGGAGAAAGTGAGGCGTGACAAGCTGAAGGCTGAAGCCAGCGAGCCCGAACCAGTCACACCACAAGTAACACCAGCAAAGGACAAGAAGGGCAGTAAAGGTAAATGTGCTGCTGGAATTCTACTATTGTGCCCCTCAAGGTGGCTCTGATATTTTCCTTATGAATCAGTCTGAAAAAGCAAACAAAGAAAGAAAAAACTCAACCGCAGCCACAAATCCCAGATGAGTAACAAAGGAAGCGTCATGATCAAATAGAGAAACAGAGGATGTCCAAACCATCTCTTTCCAGAATCATAATATGAGATCACTTTTTTCTTACATTACAGGCAAAAAGAGCCTTGTTGATGAGAAGCTGTTTCCTCCACCAGAGCCTGCAGAGCCGGTTCTGCTGGAAGGCATGGCTGTTGGCTCAGTGTCCCTGGCTGTAGCTAAATGTGGGGCAAAAATAAAGGCAATGCCTCTTTACAAATATATATCAGCTCTGAAGAATCAAAAGGTTTGAAAGCAAAAATCCAAATATTTTACAGATATTTTTACAGAATACTGAAAGCATTCAAAAGGTGGAAATGCAACATTTTATTTCGCCTAAGGAACCGGCACATTTTCATGTTCCTGTACCCTGGATAACTCTGCTCAGCTGCGGGAAGAAATCCCCTGGAAAACTATGCTTACTGGAAGAAATTATTCTCATCTCCAAAGTGGGACGTCCAGTCAAACAGGTATTGATCTGCTCTACCACATTTTGCCTTTTTTGTCTGTTACAGACAGCAATGAGTTAACAGTTGTCATGGACTGGTTTTCTGTTTCTAACTTTTTCGTGATTGCCCCATTGCTTCATTTTGGTTGTCAGAATTTTACACAGGGACATCTGTGGATGTTCTATATTTTACCACATTTGTCACATTTCCCAACACCATTTTTGAAAAGTCATGAAGCTGTAAATATCTTCAACAGAGCGTCACGTTGGCCTGTGAGTTACAGAAGGAGATGATGAGACTGATGAGCTTGTCAGGAAAAGGCGGGGTGAGAGATACTGCTGCATAAATTGTATGTTTTTCACTTGAAGTTTCTGTAAAGGATTTGCACATGAAAGAGCTCTACTTCACCCGGTTGAATGATGCTGTCTTAGTTTCAGCAAAACTTGGAATTATTTGATTTAATTTATTATGTATGCGAACTGCACTTGCCATTCATATGATAGCTTAAGCTAAGCTGTTTTTCCAAGATCGCCCTGTCCTCGGTGTCGCACAACGGAGTGCTGACAGCGAGTTGCGACCGGCTCGAACAGCCTCTCGATCTCATCACTGACGCCTGCACGAACCTTAAAGTGCCACTGGGAGTTGATGTCTTTTTGGCGCTGAACTGTGCCGGCCCGAAAATTGTGGACTATGTAAGTCGGCCAAAGATTTTCCAACTACAATAGTAATGCTACCGTTGTGTTGGGGGGTGCTTTTTTTTTTTTTCTGTCATTTATTATGTGGACACAGCTCAATTAAATAAATGACCTGTTTATTGTATCTGTTTCAGTCTAAGGGAAAGTATGAAGTGGCAACAGGAGGTCTGAAGTCTGCGGATGAATTGATTGAGGTGTATCACAACCTCATCAGCAAATACCCGGCGGTGGTGGCCGTGATCGATCCTTTTAGGAGAGAAGTGAGTTCACGGCATCTGAAGTTATGTCCTAATTTGTTTGCTAATGTTGTTTTTATACTTCTGCTCAATGTCCCAAGCTTTTTGTTAGAGGGTTTATGAAACAGAAAATGCATGCACAACATCAACAACGCACAATAACATTCAGAAGGTCATTTGTTTCACACAAATCTGCCTGTCATTCATAGTGACTGTTTTTGCTGATGGGCGCTTTAAAATGCCTGTTTGATGTGCGAATCTGGCTTTTATGTTTATCGATTGCCATTCAGTTCTGAACAGTTCTTCAAACATGTGACCGGATTCTTGTCTAAGATTGCTTTAATGTGTCTTCTGTTAGGAGGCAGACCAATGGGAGAAACTTAGCAATAGGATTGGGATTTCATGTTCACTGCTGTCTGACATCACACACAAACCACAGGCTCCAGTCCTGCAAGGAGTCCATGGTTATGTCTTCAGATATGCCAACGAGACAACGGTCACCGACATCATCCAGGCCACATTCTCCTACCAAGGTACTAGATGGGAGGTGTTGCGTGTATGCCAGGTTTTTATATCCTAATGGGAACCTACTTCTGTCTACAATGTGTGGTTGTGGGAACTGTAGTTCCTTTGGGGACATTTTCTTGATTCCTACGAGTGGAAATGCTGCTTTAGGGTTAGAGGTAAGGTCTGTGGTGGTTGGGTGTAGGGTTATGGTTAGACTGTAGAAAATGAATGAAAGTCAAGGCAAAGACCCTATGACAATAGAATAACATGCTGTGCATGTGCATGTGTGTGCAGATAAATATGAGCAAAAATCAATAAATTGCGTGATTTGTAATCAATCATTTATCTTTTATCTCTCTCTTTTTACCAAAAACTGAATGATAAAAGTCTTCAGTCTGGTGTTTTGGTCTCAACTATCCCTTGTTTTAAAAGATAATTTTGTTTGCACAGACTTCATAACTCAATTTTTTGTTTCTGTTGTTTTCTTTATTTATTTTGTATAATCCAAATGTCTCCCAGTTCCAGTGTTTAAATGTTCATTAGAGTTTAAAGTTTATTGGTCCTTCATAAAGTGTCCTCGCATTATTATGCCATTGGAGCTGTATTGTATTACTTGAAAATGGTCTCACAACAACAACATTATCGTTTATTGCAATACGTTCTGGGACTATTTATCGTCCAGCAAAATGAGTTATCGTGACAGGTCTAGTATTTGAAAAAAGAAAAACTGACTTGAACAGAACTCACACAGGCCTTCCTCGGATAATATTCAGAGGATATTATCCAGATACGATACTTATTTTTTTTTTCTGTCTGCTTTTTTCCTCTTTACAAGTTTTTAATGGATTGTAAAAAAAATAATTCTTTACCTTTTTGTGAGGATTTTCTAAATTTTGATCTGCAGGTTCACTGGTGATGGATACGATGTTCAGTGAATCCGGCAGTGATGGATTCTTTGCAGACTTAGTGAGTTCTCTTCTCTGTCATTCAGTGTCACATGTTCCTTTATATTATGTCACTGTGACCTTTCTGCTGGACAGCAGCTTCATTTAATGGGCTCAGGCTCATAAATTCTCCTGTCACTGTTTGTTTAATGAATAAAACTCAGAATATTCCTCATTAGACAATTCATTTTTATAATTGTGTAATGCAAATGTTTTCGCCACTTTACGGCCAACAGCCATTCAGGAAGACGGCCCACCCAAACTAAGCTGATTTTTTTTGTTTGTTTGTTTGTTTGTCGGTTGGTTGGGAAAACCTGTGCACCTCATTGAAACTTTCTCTCCTCCCTCAGGCTGTGGGACTGGGGCTGGACTATGTCAAACTGGGAGGTCTGAGTGGCGGTGAGACGATAGCTAAATACAATCGCCTGATATCTATAGAAGAAGAACTGGCCCAACAAGGACTTCTGGGTAGGTGTTTTTCTCTTCTCCTCTGACTTGTTTAGGCGGACAGACAAGGCGGCGCTCACAAAGCGAGGAAAAGTGAGGTCTGAGCCTGAGAACACATTTCTGACTGCGCTGGACGTGAAAGGACACTGTGTGTGAGGAATCATGCAAACATGTATTGATGTGGGGGAGAGTGGAAGAATGAGAACCCCCTCTACCTTGAATCTGTTAATTGGCCACTTAATTACACACAAGGACAAATACGTTCCCATTCATCATTTCTGGAAAAGCAGGCGGGGACACCAGAGGTTTAATGAGCACTGAGTATGTGAGTGTAATAAGAGGCCATAAGACAGCTGCAGTCAGGACGGTTTGTCAGTGTTTATCGTTTATCTTGATACTTTTTTGCTGACTTCAGAGTTGACTGAGAAACAGAAAAAGAGCGTGTGCGTATGTTTACTAAAGATTCGCAATGTTTAGCTCTTTCTGTTGTTTTGGTCTCGTCCCCAGTCTGTAAGGAACCGCCGCTCTTCAGCGAAAAGCCAAAGGAACAGCCGGCTGCAGCAGAGGAAACCATGTGACGCAGCCAACAGTCCGGCCTGTTTCAACAAACCTTGAAAATCTTCCTGTTCTTCCTTGTGAGCACTAATGAACCACACTGAGTGGTCAGCATTAATCTGAATGTTCTAGTAGCCTTTTTTTTTTTCTTAGCCTAGATATGAAACTCAATCCAAACCACTTCTGATAAAGTGAGACTGGAAAACATCTGTTTTATTCATGTGTCCAATAAATTGTTCGATAAAATGTTCAGGCATATTAAATGCCAATAAATTGTAAGTGAACAGTGCAGATAGAAAATAGCAGCTCGGTTCTCTTTGGAAGCACAATTTATGAATTTATTTTGCAGCACATCAAACATAATTGATACAGAGAAAAATATGTTCATGTGAAAATAAAGTTTTGAAAGCTTCCAGTGATTTTTGCCGTTTAATTAATTCATTTTTTTTTTTTTTGAGTTCCATCCAGCTGAACTTGAGTTTCTGCTGGATAGTTTCAGCTGAAAAAGCTTAAGCAAAAAAAAGAAAAAAGTCTTTCAGCTTATTTCCCACCTTTGCAATGTCGCACTGTTTCATGAAACACCAGACAAACCTCCGTTGTGAATGTTGTGGTTGAGTTTCACCGGTTTCCTTCCACCACGGTTGTGCAGATCCCGATTTTTTTTTTTAAGAAAGCAATCTGCTTTCAGCCTGTGCAAATCTGAGTCTTGCTGGTATGCATTTATTTTTCTGCTTGTATTATCAGGTTCTAAAATAATTCCGTCTGTGTCGGATTAGCAACCGTTTTGCGTCAGCAAAAGGCTTAGCGCCTCGTTTCCCGCGAAAGAGACCAACTTCCCTGAGACAATCGGTTTTGCTGTCCAGTTTGGAACTATATCTTACAAACTCCAAACATGGCAGACTGAACTCTGCTAAAACCATAATGTTTATGTTTCTGCTTGGCAAGCGCACACAAATCTTTTTTTTTAATAGAATTGAATGATTTAATTGAATTTCACCATCGCCTTGTTTAACTTGAATAATAAATCAAATCTGATCAGAATCATTTCTTCTAATACTACATTGTATTAGAAGAAATTAGTTAATCTAGATTAAACTGGATGTTGCACAATTGGAAAGAAAGTTGCCCGGTTTGTCTTTGGGTTTGTTTTGTGAATATAAAAATAGACGGAAAAAAATCTAAATCAAGGAAGCAGCTAAAAAAAAAAAACTATATAAAGTCCAACTTTGTGTGATGCAAGATCAAAAAAACAGACTATAATTGACATTGCATCAGGAAATAAATGTTTCAATAATAGCAGGGTAACTGTTTCACTGGCCACTTTGAGTAAAACAAGACCTTTTTTTTTTTTTTGCTTCTTTCTCAGTAAATGTTAGGTTACACGTCTTTGGCTGCACTCAGTTTAACTTGTTGAGTGTTTTTTATACAGTCAACAAGTTAAATGTCAGAGAACAAACCTTTAATCAACAAAATATGCAAAGAGCAGCAAAGGCTGGACACACAGCCTTGTGTGAGTGAGGGGCCCACAGCGGGCACAGGGCACAGGCCCTGTGTGCTGTGGAAAAGTTAATAAAATTACTGACTAAACAGGTCAAGATAAGTATTCCCACAACACACACAATAAAAACTCCCTAATTGCTATAAGGGAACAGCAATTAGGGAAGAAAACAAACGAAAACAAAACAATTTATTCCATTGCTGTGTTGATTAACGAGGATCAGAGGTGTGGCAGCGGCAACCAGGCAGAGGGGGGAAAAAGGACACGCCACGTGTAATTGTATGTTTTGCCTGGATCAAAACGTGTGTATATCTGATAATTAAAGTCAGCAAGTCTGGCGGGCTTTAGTAGATTGCAGCGGGAAAGGAGGAAGCAACTTGTCAGCTCATAAAAGGAAGAGGGAAACGGTAGAGAGTCGCTCCTCAAAGCTGGTATTAAATATGGCCTCACTGTAGAGCCTAAAGGACGGCCTTAGTCACAAAAACATCTCTAGTCGAGGAGGATTTAATGAGGCAGCAACAGAAACCAACACAAACAACCCTATAGTTTCATTTCATGTCATAGTGTGGTGGGCTGTTTAACGCCTCCTTCAACATGATATCCAGGGTAATCTACACGTTATAATTCTGTATGTTGTTTGTTCACCTTCACCCTGTTTTTACAGGCACGCTGCTGGTATTCTGCCTTTGCATCCACAGACAAAGTGTGTGCGTGTTTGTGTAACATTGTGTCTGTAGGAAGGAAGAAAAAGGAAACCAATGATTGTACACTTCAAAACGTGCTGCCGCTGAATCTGGTCAGAGACTTCAGTTCCATTTGTCCACAGACTGTGTTAGGTGGCTCGGTTGGGGAGGAAATTGTATCTCAGTGCTAAATGAAGCTTAAAGCCTTAATTAACAGCCCGACACAATAGGTGACAGACATCTGTCATAGTCCACAGCTCTCGTGTTTCACTTCCTCGCCGGAGCAGGAATCTGGGAAGTCTGGGCAGGTGTCAGGGAAAACAAAACGGAACCAGGAAAGCCTGACAGCGTGGTTTAATCAGCAGTCTGGCCTTTGTTGCATTCAAAGGATGCAGGCTGATCCTCTGGTCTAAACCCGACTAAAAGCCTTCACTAGCTGGAGATTTAAGGGGAAATCCAGCCAAAGACACTGTAACAAAACAGCCAGCAGATAGTTTAGTCTGATCCCTGTAGTTATGAAAATTCTCAGTGGGTTGACAAGGTAGTAATAATAACACACACACACAGGTTTATGTGGCTATCTTTGTAGGGACTTTCCATTGACTTCCATTCATTTTTACAGCCTAAACCTTATCTAGACAGACAGATAGATCGATGGATAGATAGATAATCCTAACTGGCTTCTGAAGAGGTTCCTGCAGTGAATATCTTCGGTGTGTCGTGTTCTTCCATCGTCTAGCAGGATCAGAGCCAGCAACTCAGCAACCTGCTAAAGAAAAGCATGACTGCTTCTGTTTTGGAGATGACTCTGAAACCTCTGGAGATTGTTGCACAACAAAGGTTTTTGCATGAAATGAAAAACATAAGATAAAAGGTGTCCTCTTTATGAGACTAATCCACCAACAGTGTCTTCGGTCAGAGTCTACTCCTGAACCGCTGCAATACAGACAACAACAGGAGACGATAGCATCTGCAAACTGCCAGAAACTGGCAACGAATGTGAAGAGGCCCTTGACTGGTGCTGGATATGGTGATGTCAACATTTCTGGATAAGCAGTCGCAACAGAATTAGCTCTGCTAATCCATGTCATTTGCTTTTGTAGCTTCTCTTTAAGTCTCTGTCTGGCCATCTGGTTAGGAAGCCAGGCAGAGAGTTGCTTCCTACTATGATTAATGCAAGAGATTGTCTTTTTCTGACTAGGACCGAAGTGTTTCTGCACAGCAGTGGGACCACAGCGAGGAGCCAGAGCAAGTGGATTTGTTCACTATTGTCCTGAACTATGAGGACATAGTGAATGTTTGAGCAAATATATAAAAATCACATTCTTGTCAAATGTACCTATCACATCTTTAACTATATCATCTCCCTGGAATTCTTGCTGAGCAAAATATCAATTAGTTTCTGTGAGTGTTCTGCAGACGAGGACTTTTATTTTTGCTGCAGGCTCAGAAACGCTGCATTATTCTAGTAGTGCACTTTAGAAAAAGAGTAAAGAAACTTCTGATTTTTAGTAAAAAAATCAGAAGTTGATCACGTTACCATGAAAGTGATAATGCATGTCAACATCCCAGTACGAATAAATCACAACGACCTAATCCTAAATTTAATTTTCCATTTATGAATAGCTTTTTAAAAGCCCACATGCAGTGACAGAGACAAAGTTTGTAAAATATAAAATACATACAGTATATTGTAGAAACAAACTATGTATTTTATATTTTGATTTTATTCAAAAAAAAATTGAGCAAAGAAAATCTCAGCTGCAGGACTGTAAAAAATTGCAGGGAAATTGTATGCTACTGATTTTAATAAAACAAGATATTATTTTTTTATGTCAATAAGATCAGGCAAAAGCACTATCAGTCAAAGTTGCTGCTTAACAAGACTTTCTGTTGGAGATAGTTGTAAATAGCATAACAAATGTTATTCGGTTTAGTTCAAATGTACCCAAACAGTTTCTATTTCCCTCTTTTATGTGTGGAGATCTGTTTATATGTGAAGTATATTAGGGATTCTTAGAATCTGACTTCATGGGTCATTTAAAATGCAGAGTGAACATTTGCTCTCTAAAGGTGATCTAATGTTTTCCGCATCCAGCCACAGAAAATCATCAGGTTTCACTCTCAAAAAGAAACGGGGACAAAATCTGAAAAGAAAACCAAACCAAACCCAAACCTATGCAAAAAAATATTGACTTAAATTTTCTTTATTTTTTCTCAGAAGGTAAGACAATAAGTTTGTTGAGTCAAAGGCTGCAGCCTGAAGTGACCCAATTCCAATTTTTTATTTTATTGACTGATTGATTGACTGACTGACATAATCTGACCAACACAGGTCAGATTTTTTTTTGACTGTGACCCTGATAACCCAACGTCATGGTTGTCATGATAGTCAACCATAACATGTTAAGTTATGGTGATATTAAGTTGTTAATATTCTGGCTCTGGTTGGACAACAACTTTAAATGAGTAAACTATGCTCCACTGTTAGCATCCACATTTACTTCTTCTTCTTGTTCATGGCAGGCACTGAGCACGCACTCTGTGTGTGACGTTATTGCGCCCCCTACTGCGCATGCGGGGCACTTTCAGGTTGTTTGCCAGTTCACACTGGAGAGCACATACAAGTCGTGTATATTTGGAAGTGTGAAAAAAAAAAATCGGAATAGGATCATAACCAAAGGGATCATGACTCTTATCCACCGAGGCTGAACAAGGCCTTTCTTGACATTACACTTCTGGATGAATCCAATAACTTATAACGGCGTAAGCATTTCACAATGTACATGATGAGGAGAGTGACTTGCGGCGTTATGTTAGGACTTCAGGTTGTCCCGCCTTCTCAGAAGAATCCTCTGCAGCTCTTCGTCCTGGCCTGCTGATGGTGACACAGCTTTGGGCTGAGGGCGAGTTTTGTTGAAATTCTCCTGGACAGGTCAAGAAATCATGCAGGACACATAAGGGACATAACTGTGAATATTAAATACAAATAAATGTGATTCTTGAATTTGTTTCACTGTGACTTTCTCGACTAAAAGAGAATTTAATCAGACATTTAGTCATGTATGTTTATCCAACCAGTCGATTACCTCAATCGAATAGATGATTGGTACTTTCTACCTAGACTGTTTTTCACTACCTTTCTAGATATGGATGCTGAAGTAAAGATTTCCGTAATACAGACGGGGAAAAAAAGGGAAAGTTTAACTAGTAAAACACGGCTTCAAAGTCCCATTACCATGATTCCTTTAAGTTCTTGAATGGCAGAATTAGAGGGCAGCCTCTCCATCTGATAAAAGGAAAATAGGAGGAGAAAATGGGTTTGGTAAATAAACAGCGGCCTGACACATTATGCTTATTTTACCTCATTCAGCACTTAAAGAATAAATTGCTTCTCTCACCACAAAGATACAGCATTGTACTCAAGCATGAAGATGTATGCTTTCTACAAGAAGCAAATGTGTTAACACATAAGCATTTTGAGTCATGACAATTTTTCCATCCTCATTATTTATAATGACCTTGCAGAGCAGCCCCTAATGCTATCTAATTTGACAGAGTTGTTAAGGAGGAACAAGGAGACTGAAAGAAGTCCTGACCGTACGTCATGTTTTAACAAAACAAGAAGCTCTTAGATAATCCCGAACACTGATGGATTTGAGAGCACCGAACAATATACTGTATGCTCAACACACGTGGAGGCACACACACGCACGCATGCACACACACACACACAAAAAAAACAGGCTTTGAAACACTTAGAATCTGCAGCTGGTATACTTCAGTGATTTTAGCAGCAAAGACACATTTTCTGTTTCAATCACAATGCTCCATTTCCCTTGTCCATGTTTAGTGTTTAATGCACTCTGCATTTGGTACTGTTGTTCTTCAAACTCCTGACCAATATGATGTCCGTTTTAGCATGGAAGAAAAAACAATATTTTTACATGTCTTGTTGCTCTGAAATAAATGTATGCTTCGTCATCTGAATGAAAGTTGGAACCGCGACTTGTTCGGACGTGGCCGTTTTTAACGTCGTCGTGGTAAATGCCATGCGTCTGACTTTTACATTTTGTCACTTGTAAAACTCTGCCCACGTCTGCATCAGATAGTGAATTTCAGAGGCGGATCTCAAGCTACAATGAGTCTGTGTTATGGATGCAGGTTGCACGGAATGTATTGCTCAGAATTGGTACAAGTTATAAGCTGACTGAAAATCCCAATGACATAAATTTCTAGTTTAGCAATTATTTCAGAGCCCAGAAGAACTTCCTGTAGAAACTGCCTTTTTATTTTCTCTATGTTCTCAGCCTGACTAAATCCTACAAAGAAACCTATTTTGACCATGTTAATTCACTCGGTTTGAGGACACACTATCAGTTGGGTGTCACAAAACTAAAAGATAAACGAATCAGAGGAAAAAGAAAAAGAATCTGGTCCATTTTATTCACAAAGGCCTGCTGATGAAAACTTTAAACCTCAAGTGTTTTAATCATCAACCTCATCACAAAAGGACACTGAGTGCAATGAGAGTGGTTTTGTGTTATTTTTGTTTTCTTTACGCAACCATCCAAAATCATGTTTAGGATTCTTTTACTCATAGTTTTGAAAACACGGGCACGGTTTTTCATGCAATTTGGGGAGATCGAAGGTCTTGCACTAAATGTAGCGAAACAAGCCGAGCGAAATGATCCAAAATGCCAACATGCAGTGACTGGCTGCTGCCAGGAAGACACAGGAAGACGCAATTTTATATTTTGTAGATTTGTTCTGTTTTTTTTTTTTTTTTTTAAAAAAAAAAAAGGTCAGGCCTTTTGAAATCTGGGCCTTGAGGCTCCGGTGTCCTGCAACTGTTAGGTGGTTTGACTCGCCTCGAAGGACCGAACCACCGCCTCGGTATGCAGTCAAGTCCAACCGATGGCCTGATTATTTGACTCAGATGTGCTGAAGCAGAGACACTTCTAAAACCTGCAGGGTCCTCTAATCTGATAATAGTTTTTCAGTATAGAACACTTCAGTTGAGTATGCCCTTGTAAAAATCTTATAACACTCGTAGCATTTCTACAGAGAAAGTGTAAAAACAAATTCACCAACATATACCTTCTTCTACACATGTCACATTGTTTGATCCAGAGGTACTTAAACTCCACTCTGCCCTTTCCCAGCTCATCAGTGTCTATAAATTCTTGCTGAAGAAAGTTTACCTGGTCCGTTTTTAACAAACAAGCACATTATGTGCCAATCTGGGATGGGATGATGCTATTTGGTCCAATATCCTTCACTGGCCTTGACCAAATGCACATTTGGGTGCATCCTAAACTAAATGGTTGACGTCTAGTCCAAATTTGATGTTAAGCTTCAACTTTTGTCTCTTTCTATTACCTTGGGAAATAATTGCTTTATCTTTTCACTCAGTTTCTGCATTTAGGTGCTTCATCATGGAGTCACTGAAAGCAGATCCAAATTGATTTTGAAATGTAAATATAAATGGATCACAGGCTGTTGTTACCTTTGGTTCACTTCTGTTTGGTGGCTGTTTCACTGGTCGAAGTTGAACTCCTTTTTTAATTCTCTGCATCATTTCCTCCACAGCCTGGTGCCGGATGTCTGATTTGCAGTGAGAGAGGAACACAGGAGTCACGTTTCACTGCCAGCAGCTAACAAAACAAATGTGTAGCTTTTACTGAATATATGAACACAAAAATTATTATTGAGTTAGTGTTAATAATGAATACAATTAGAAAGATATATACATATATCTTTAGGTCAATGTTCAGACATTTGAAGTCAGATGTTTAAACGCCCCGAAGAAAGAAGAGCCACAATTTTCTTTCCACATTGTTTGGCATTAAGTCACACTAATGTTTCCCTCTTTAGGTCAATCAGGATTTAAAGGAAAATCTGAAGTTTACATACATTTTCTTCAGTATTTGTTAGAATTACTTCTTCAATTGAACTACCTCCTCAGTTGTCCACTTGGGTGAAATGCTTTTAGTATATTTTCAAAAGCTTTTCACAAAAGTCTGCTCAGGTTTCAGCCCACTTCTCCAGACACAACTGGTGGAACCGAATGAGGTTTGTTGGCCAACTTGCTCACACACATCTTTGCCGCTCGGCCCAGACATTTGAAGTTCAGCAGCAGAACTGCACTTTACTGATCCTTCGTCACTAGACAGCAAATGGATTTCAGTCCTGAGCCGGATTGAACTTAAAACGACGCTCACTGATGGGAGCATCTTGTGGCAAGGAATCGAGGTGGTCTTGATGTAAATCTGGTCAAGGTCACATCAGGGCCACATCTGCCCTCTGTGGCCTTGATATGACCCTGACATGACTTTGTAAAGAGCGTGCAGAAGTGTTGTTGGAGGCTGTTTGTTTAATATTTACCACATCCCTATCTATTCAGTCTATAAAATATATTAAACTATGCGTTCTGATGAGGCTCGTTTGTCAAATTAAAAGCATTTTTTATAAGAAAACAACTTCTAAGCAGATGTTAAACAATCTTTTTGTTAAGCTAACATGACTGTATTAAACAAATATATTTTTATTAGACTGATGTTATATACTGATTTTCAATGTTGCCTTCTCATTGGCTGGAAGATGAAAATCATTATAATAAAAAAAGGTTTGAAAGGTTTTTCTTGTGATTGATCTATACACTGTGTGGAAATGAAGATACTGAAATAATTGAGCTTTTCATAAATGTTAAAATTTATTGAACATGACTGAAGGACCCTAGATTGAAAGTTGTTTTTCTTTCTTTTCTGAAAGAAATTAGCAGTGTTAGAACTTTTCAATAAGTTTTCAACAAGGTCTAGAATGAAAGGTTGGTGAACAATCTAATCTCGCATCTTTTTGGCCATTTGTAATATAATTATTTTGACGTTGAGCTCGGCCGTAATTATGGGAAATTTTATAACTACTACCATGACAACTGATTTAGCAGTAATCACAGTTCAGAGTCCGTTAAATGCGAATGTCTGAGGTTAGCAAACTTAGCCAAGAATGCCTCTCCATATAAAAGCACACGCGAATATGCAATTTTCCATACAAAAGTTTTTCAAGGAGAGGCTGAAAGAGATGAGAACAAATAATTTATTTCAGCCAAAAACTCTGTCCATTCACAAAAAAGGGATGTTAATATTTAATTTTCTAAAATGGAACATTCAGCGGCGCTCACAATCGAATGTTTGTTCCAGAGAAGTCTTTTAAAATGTTACACAAAAACAATTTTGCGTTAAAGTAATAGCAAAATATTTTTCTTTCAGTGCTTAAAATGAAACCATTATTCAGGAGTCACAGCAGAAGATCCTTGGTTGGTGCCTATTCAATCTCATATGTAATTTTAAAATACTGTGTGTATGGTGCTCTATTGAGACCTCACATGTTTGATCACTATTGGACAAAATGAGGACTCAGCTCAATCTGTTTAGTCAACATGGACGACTCACCTGCTTCGACAAGTCAAGGCTTCAATTTAAATTCACAAATTACAGAATTTAAAATGTTAACTGAGGAGGTCAAACATGCAGAGTTTGAGAAGGATGGCATCTTTTGTCCTAATAAGAAACTTTCAGTTTCAAAGATCGGGTGTGAAATAAAAAACACCTTAAAGTATTTAAACCAGTTATGTCATACAGAGTATAATCCAGGGAAAAACTGAGAACTTAATTTGAGTAATAAACCTTTGAACGCGAAGAGGGCTTCTGGTTAATAGAGCAGCTGAAAGAGTTTTAGTGGTTTTAAAAGAAGGCAAAAAAAGAAAATGGTTTTATGCACCCCACTACGCACTGAATGACACGGAGGAACAAGCAGTTCATTTTGTTGCTAAAGGCAGAAATCTAAAATAATTAACAAAGGGACAAAGAGAACTGTGAATATTTTCAACGCTGAAATGTTGTTTACCTGTTAATCAAATTCAGAAAGTTGCCCATCTGCATTTTCCACCAGCTTTTGAAAATCTGCATTGCGGTATAAAACTATTTGACCATGTCCATGTTATGGCTTGTGGACTATCTTATGAATAGTTGTAATCACTGAGTTAAAGTATCACCACTAAATGTGTGACATAATAGAGATGTGAAGTCGGATATGTTTCCATAAAATAAGCATTTCCTTTTCAATCAAGCATGCACTAAAAGTATTCACCCCCTTGGATGTTACACTATTACTATTAGATGTTTCCCTATTATTATTGCTTTGACAAATCAGTCGTGAATAACAAACTTTGGCTTTTTTGACAAAAATAAAAAGTCTAAAAAGTAACACATCATCATTAAAGCAAAACTGATTTCTACAAAATAATGACAAATATTTTGTAGAAATATTTCCCCCGTTTAAACTGGTGCTTAGCGTTTGCTCCTCTGGCTCTCATCCCAGCAGGGGGTCAGAGTGGACTCACTTAACGCTGCACTTTCCCTCCATTCTTCATGCTAAGCTTTCCGTCAGGCTGGATCGCAGGCCACCACTTCACTACCGGGCAGGGTCGCTACAGGACATCCACCTTGTTGTATTTAAATCATTTCTGTCTAACTTTAGTGAAAGCCTGGTGTCTTACTGGGGAAACAAATGTCCTCTGAAAACGCAGTTCTCTGGTTGTTTCTGCTTTTGTTTTTCCTTCTACCGTCTCAAGTCTTCCAGGGCCTCCTACTCAGAAGGATCCCCCAGCGCATGATGCTACTTCTACCATGGTTCCCAGGAAGGATGGTGTGCTTTTGGTGATGTGTAGCATTTGACATAGATGTCTTATCTGATGGCCAAAACTTCCCAACAGATCAACTTTCTTCCACTTGATCTTGAGACATATTCCTTCAATATCTTGATGGATTTCACTAAACTACATGAGATACAAAGTGCTCAGATTTTGTTGTGTCCATCCCCTGACTTATACCTTTAAATAACCTTTTCTTGGATTAGTTGGAATGTACTTTAGTCTTCCTGCTGTAGTGGTTAGCCAGCAATGCTATTGGTTTAAAACAATCATATTGTGCGGACCTTGTGACATAAAATGAAGCAGGCAGTGTGTAGATGTTTGCTCTGTACCTGCAGGCTTGGCTGAGTCCTGGTCCACCAACGGGATGTCATGGCTGACGTTCCTTCTCTTTCGAATCAGTGACAGCAACGCGCTGTAGAGGAGCAAAAAAAAGAAAAACGCAAAAATCTTAGAATAAAAATGCAATATTTGTATTAGAGCAGATTGTCTTTCTCATTCAAAATGCCCTGGAAAGACATTTCTGTTTCATCGGCACTGAAACAAAGTGGTTCCATTCTAGATTCCCAGATCCAGAATCATGCAACATGACCTGATCTAAAAGTTTTTATTGGTAAGTATATTTCTATTTAAACATTTCATTGCATTTATGACATTATATAAGTGGATTCCTCAAATCCTCAAATACAGATGTTCAGAAAAAAATAAAATAAAATTACCTGAGAGGGTTAGAGGTCAACTCTGGGGTTGCAGGAGGTAAGGGTGGAGGTGGAGGCGGAGGTGCTGGGGGTGGGTTGGTGGCAGCATTCAGCTTCTTTTGGAGTTGCTCAACTGGCCAATCAAACACACAGAATCACACAAAATATTTAGGAACAGCTTCAAGTGTAGGAACAAAGAAATGAAGTCAGTCCCATTTTAAGTAAAACTGGATCTTAGGAAAACGTAAGGATTTTACTGCAACACAGAAGGGAGGAGTTCATTTGCTCTTTGTTGATACTACAAAATATATACCTTACTCCACCTTAAAAAGAAACTGGTTCACCCAACTTAACTGGATTGCTTCAATTGCTTATAAGTAATTCAATTATGTTTATCCAACTAAATTTTAAGTTAAATCAGTGGTTCCCAAAGTGTGGGGCGCGCCCCGTAAGGTGGATGCAGTACCATTGCAGGGGGCGCCTGGGAAAATATATGGATGAATGAAAAACAAAAAAAAATTGTTATACAAAGGTGTTTCACTGTAAAGATGGTTTGTGGTTTGTTTTGTTTGTTGCAACCTGAAATGTGAAATAAACTTCAGTGGAGTTTGAAATATGTGTATACGTTTATGTCTGGTTGAACGATGTGTGTGCCCAGATGATTTTTATTTCCTTTTTTAGGGGGGATTTTATTGTAATCCATAGGGGAGCCCAGAAAATCTTTGGGAACCACTGAATTGAACACAAAAAGGTAAGCTGTCATCACTAAACCAAATAATTAAGTGAGATTAATGTTAATAAAATGAACTACAGCCCAAACACACTTCTTAAAGCGTAATACTACATGTATACCACAACAGAATATATTGTGTTTATGTCCAACTAAAGCAAGTCTCCGTCCATTTCCTGCCACTGCTGCAGTCTACTCAGAGGCTGAAGCTGTCCTGTTGTCAGTGCTTTGCGGTGCAGCTCGTGTGCTGGACTCCAGTGACTCTCAGAGTTCGCATTTCTTAAGCTTCTTACCTGTAAACTGTAGATCTTTGACTTGTTGTTCAGCGTTAAAGCAGCGGATTCGGCACTCCTCCTTTTCCTCTTCCAGGAGCTCCAGCTTCAGCTTTAATGCTGTCAGTTCCTTCTGCGTTTCACAGCTCTTTAGTTTTTCTTCCATCTGCTTGACCTGGCGACCAAACATAAACCATGTTTGTAGTCAGGCTACAGAATAGTCACAAAATATAAAACAAGTGTTCAATGAACTTTGGGTTAAGTGTTAACCAGTATTAATTTTTTTCACCGTAAAAAAGAACTACTGTCGAATTAACTAATTTATCCCCCCTGACTAAAGGGGGAAGGAAGGTAACCAGAAATATGTAACAGAAGAGAGATAAATCTCAATGTTTTGGTTACATTAAATTGTTAAATGTCAGTATTTGTTTTATTTTCATGTGCTGTGACTTCTTTTCTCATATACCATACTATAAACCAAAAGAGAGAAGCCAGTTCACCTGCAGTAAAATATTCCATAGGCCAGTTTGTATCTCCTGAGAAGGCAGCTTAGCGAGCAGCCTGTAAATATGCAAGCTAACTTGAAGAACTTCTTTTAGCTAGTTTAGCTTGAAGAACTAAGAAAGAACTTAGTTTATTCATTGTCCTTTTGGACAAGAATTTAGCCTCTCACCTGCAGTTCTTATTTATAATTATAAGAACTTAGCTATGAAGCTAAAGTTTTTTATCTATAATTTGGTGTTATTGCTCATTTGAACTAAAACCATGTCATTAAATCAAACACATAAAATACTGTAAATATGCTTGTCTTTCATTTTTCTTTATTTGTATTAGTTTTCACTACAGTCAAAGGAGGCAGTTTTTCTGATTGATTCCTATGACTTTTTCCTTTCCAAAGAATTGTAACAGCTTTATATTATCCACAGATATTAACTGATGTGAAACTAGCTTTAGATGTCAAGCTACCAGCCCTTAATCTCTGATGACAGGTTTAGTATCCAGACAGTTTATAAGTTTAATTTCATCCAACAGCTAGACATGTAAAAAAAACAAAACAAAAAAACCTTATAAAGAAATTTTAAGAAGACATAGATCAACATATGAAAACGCAGCCTCCATTTTCCAAGCGGATTAGTTTGTGTGGAAACTGTTTCGCGGTTCAAATCGGACCTGGTTCTGATGCTGCAGCCTCTGGGTCTCCATCTGTTCAGTCAGAGCGGCCACCTGACTGACCACATCCTGCAGAGCTGGGCTGGGCATGCAGCTCTGCAGCAGGATCTGACTCTGCCGCTTCAGTTTTGTCTGTTCGACCAGCATCTGAACACACCAGTAAGTAAATAACAACAGCATAATACAGATGAAACTTATGAACACAACGCTGCAGATGAGAAAAGAGCATGGGCTCACGTCTCTAGCGAAGTTTTCTGCTTCTGTCCTCAGGTTCTGCTCCAGGTCCAGGGTATGCTGTAAAGCTTCGTATTCCTCCACAGCAAACTGAGAAACTGATATAAAGACATTTACACATTAAATTTTCTGTTAAACTACATATTGCTGCAGTAAATCCCAATGAAAGACACCTCAGTCACGTTGTACAAACAGCAAAGTCGAGCATGATATGTAAACACTATGAACAATCAATTAACAGTTTTACTCTTTGCAAGAGTTCAAGGAAAAGTGTATGGCTTTGAAACAAACAAATAAAAAGACCTTTCATGGTTTCATACCATAAAGGACTTTGGAAATATATTCATCCTCCTTTGGAATATCTATCTATACACATAAATGCACTATATTGCAAAAAATATTTGCTCATTCATCCAAATGATCAGAATCAGGTGTTCCAATCATTTCCATGGCCACAGGTGTATAAAGTTTAGCACCTCGGCATGTAGACTGTTTCTACAAATATTTGTGTCACTCTCAAGAGCGATCTATGGTGTGGGGTTGTTCTTCAGGAACTGGACTTGACCCCTTCATTCCAGTGAAAGGATCTCTGAATCATAACAAGAGATTTTGAACAATTCCATGTTCCCAACTTAGTGGGAACAGTTTGAAGCTGGTCCCTCCTCTTCCGACATGACTGTCCACAAAGCATGTCTTTATGGACGGTCCATACAGACATGGATGGTCTTTATGGACCATCCATGTCCAGAAAGACATGGATGGTAGAGTCTGGTGAGCATGAACTTGACTGACCTGCACAGAGTCCTGACCTCAACCTGATTGAAAATCTTTGGGATGAATTAGAGGAGAGACTGAGAGCCAGGCCTCTTCGTCCAACATCAGTATGTGACCTCACTAATGGGCTTCTGGAAGAATGGTCAGAAATCCCCATAAACACTCCTAGACCGTGTGGACAGCCTTCACAGAAGAGTTGAAGTTGTTCTAGCTCCAAAGGGTGGAACAAAGTCATAACGAACAATTAGGAATGGGATGTCACAGTAATATTTTAAACCGACTCTCACCCTGAGTTTTGAATAACCAGTTGAATATTTCTGCTTTAGCTTTTTTTTTTTTTTTTTTTTAAATAAAGTATTTGCAGTTCTTTTTCTGCTTTCTGTTCAGGACTGAAGCTCTTTTTTATGTGTGGAAGTTCAGACTGATTTATAAGTTACACAAAAATGTTCGCTCTGAAACGTCTGTATCATTTGTCACCCATCCAGAGCCACCGATCGGTGTCTCTCTCCTTCATCCGCAGAGGACTGCAAAGTGGAGCGGAGGCACCAGGTGAAGGCAAAGATAATTATTCAGATGTTGACAGTAGCAATAATGTTGATTCAATACCTCAGCTCTGGAACAATGCATTTTGAAGAAACGTAATGTCACATTCACAATTACACGTGTTAAATAAAGAATGACCCCTGTGAATCAGGCCAAAGTTCCCACAGCAGTTCATTTGGAGTGAATAGGACATTTTCTCTCCATACTGTGTCCTTTTACTGTTGCTGTGAGTGAATGTGAATAAAGAGAGGAGAAAACGTTGAACTATATGTGACCCACAATATGTGTTTCATAGCAAAATAGGTGATTTTTGCAAATCGATGAGGCGAATAATGTTTATTCCTTACCCTAAAAGGGTGTACATCTTTTCACATGAATAATAACACGGCAGCATCTCTGCAGCATGGACGGCTCTCTAACCTCTGCTGTAACGCTCCAGGAGCTTCTTTTGTTGCAGACACTCGGCAATTAAATCCGTTTTGTTGTGTTTCTCTTTCATCAGCTGCAAATAAAAAAAATAAATAATAATAATAATTTAAACATTTTGAAAGATAATGAAATGGATTTGTCTCTTTAGTATACTTGTTTTACAATATGGTCTCGTAAAGTGAAACTGACATTAAAAGTCACACATTAGTCTATATATGTGACAAATTAAAAAGACTTTTGTCAAACACTGTGAAGGTAAAGTTAACTGAAAGAAAGTTCATTTACAAAGCAATCAGGATTCAAACAGATCAAATGTAATTTTGTATATTTAAATGAAAAAACATTTCTCTCTGTACTTTCTGGACCTAAAGTCGACATGGGTTGTTGAGAATTTGTTCCGTAGCTTATGACTAATTATTTGTGATAATGTAGTTTAATATTTCAGTAACTATTTGAATTATAATTGTGATTTCATAGATCGAGTTAGCATTTCATAGTTAGTGTCTGGTTCAAAATTGACTATTTGTGGACCTTTAATGGAATGCACTATATATCCCATGATGCTTTAGAACTAGAAGTTAGAAGAAGAAAAAAAATATGGAGGCGTTTTCCTAAAAGAACTGTGTTTTCTGTGACACTCTGTCACATATCATATCATTAATGATTCGTTCATCCTTTTTCTTCACTACAGTTTGTCTGAATAATCCATCCGACTCCTTCTCGTCTTTGAATTAGTAGAATATACAACATGGGTCTCCCAGCAACGTAAAATCTTCCTTTTGTGGTAAAATTGACATGGAATCAAAACATATTATCAACTTTCACAAAGGATTCAAGGAGCTCAGGGTGGGATGACAGTGGCAAAAAACAACAACAAAAAAACACTGCATGCGAGTTTTACTTTTGTTAGGCCTCGTTTACACAGCAGAATAAACAGGTGGACAATAGAGACATTACAAAATCTACCTTTTCTCTAGCTATTGAAAGGACAGGACAGAAACTGTGACACAGGTCTCAGTTTGCCAGGGGAAAAACATATTCTGAACTTTTGCAAGCCCAAGTGGGAGAATATTGACAGACTGTAATCTAAGCAGACTTAAAGGTAAAAAGAAAAAAAAAGCAAAACAAAACAAAAAAATTGGTTGCTTAGGGGTGTGCACACCAAATCTAGTTACTGCAGTTGTTTAAAGCTTTTTGCACCTCCTCTTGAACACACTAAGCTGTTTTTCAGTTGAACTGCACAACAACTGTTTCAAAGGAAAATATTTTGAACACATTTTTGTTATGGTACTAAAATATAAAAATGTAACAGGATGTTGTATAAAATTTTGAGAATCACATCACAAGAAAAACAGAAGAAACAATTCAGCCACATTTTATGGTGACAGAGTTTGATCCACTGTCTCAGTATCGAACCTCCTCTTCTCCCTGAAGAGACGACGGTGGCCGATTTTAAAAGCTGTTTTTGCAAAGCGAGCCAAGCTGGCGTGTCAGTCAGTCTGTTTCGATTATGACAAATATTTTTCTTACAGGATGCTGCAGTCAGTCAAATTAACCAAAGTGTAAAGTAATTAGAAATATTAAACTTACTTCATCACAGGTGGTCTTTAGTTGTTGCCTCGTGGATTCAAGATTAGAGATTACTTGATTTTTCTCCTTAAGCGTCAGTTCCAACTTATTTTGTAGCTCTGAAACAATAAGAAATTAAACATCGTTTTTGGATTGATGGTGATTTAAAACAAACATGAACGTCAAGGTTTCCCCCAGAAAACTTGCTAAGTCCAGTGGTTGGGCTCTAGGGAAGAGATTCGTCCAGCGGCCTGTCCTGTTTTTGAGTTAAAAAATGTTTAAAGTTGACAGGAAATATGAAAATACCATTTGATAATTATGTGTCATTGAAAGATTAATATCTCAACACCAACTATAAAGTCTTAAAAGTGCAAACATTTTTAAGACGACCTAAATAAATAATCAATGCTTAGCCTGGTGGGGGCACAAGTAAAGCCTGGTGGCCCGCCAGGCTTATAATACATTGGGGGAAACCCTGAACATAATCATTTGGATGAAAATAATATTAATTTACTTTTACTTATCTGACTAGCATAACATCAGGTAATTCCCCTGCCACTGCCTTTTTATCTCGACTGAGAAATCAGTCGGTCCCGATGCTTTTAAAAATTGGTTAATTACCGGCTTTGATTGTGAAGTTAACCTTCTGTTTCAACACGCATTCAGTGGAAGGATGACTGGATTTGTTTACTCAGTCTGAAGATATCAGCTTGTTCCAGAACTTTATTGGAATTTTATTTTTCACTCTGGATCCATGAGCACCTTTATTTTGTCATGAACAAATTCATGTGCAACTAGTTGCTTAGTGCTAACTGGACACTTAACAAGCAACAATGTTGGTAATTTTCTTCACTATTCCAATGAGAAATACTGCTGCTGCTACAATAATGCTTTTTCGAATGCTATTGCTTCTCAACACCCACAGTAGTTTTCTTTTTATGCATTCCCCTTAAATGATCAAGGATTTTGAGTGAATAAACACACCTTGTACTGTGGACTTTCTATAAAATGTTATTTTTTTTTCCTATAAATTTTGATCATGACCAACACTTTTAATCATTTCTAGCAGATAAACAGTGAAAATAACCCAAAAAAATCTCAGATTTCTGTCTTTGTTGGTTTTATTAAACATGAAGGTAATTCAGATCGATTCAAAGCCGAAGAAATTATCTACCTGAGATACAGGCAGTGCAGTCGGTTTCTGTGGCAGCGGATTCTTGTTCCTCCTCTTCACCCCCAACTTTCTCCTCGTCGTCGGCTTGCTCTTCTTCATCCAGGCTGATGTCTTTGATGGTTTCTGGGCTGAGGTACGATATCATCATCATGCTCTTCCTCTTCAGAGAGCGGTTTTGACGTTTTAACTTCCGTTGCAGAGAGAACACAAGAACAATGGTTATTTGTGTACTTTCTTCTATTTGTCACAATATATATATGTATAAAGATCCTCACTCATATGAGAAGAATTCAAAAACCTGCAAACAAAACTCTACATTTCCAAGAGAAACCATTTCTATATATTCAAGGTTTATTCAATATATTCAAACTTTCATCTAAATATTTTAACTTTCACTCAGTATATTCAACGCTTATTCAACATATTCAAACTTTCCTTCCATATATATTTTTTTTCATTCAGGATATACAAAGTTCATTCAGCATATTCAGATACATTCATAGTTATTATGTATGTCAGTCATTCTGGATGGCAGAAGAGGCATCAGTACGTAGCGCACATTTATCTCTATAGTTCTAATAATCGACGCGACTGAATTTAATGTGTTTATTCAAAGCGCTTGTGAAACATTTTTAGACGCGTTTTTCTTTGTGTTTTGTTTGACGTGATGTTTAACTGCGAGAGTGATGATCGCACTTTTGAAAGGTCGTCCACCAGTCGATCAAATGTATCAACAAAGCAGAGACCCTCAACACAACCGTCATGAGGCTCCTCTGAGGGAGGGCGGTGTACATTTGTATCTGGATGTCATTTGAAGAAAGAAGTGGGGGAGAAAAGAAAAGGACACAAAAAAGTAAAATAAATAAATAAAATAAAAAGCATTATCACTGGCATCCCGTAGAGAGCAGATTGCAGTCAGTCTTGCTTTTGATGACACCCTTCAGACTGCATCTATTTTTTTTTTCCTGAAATGCAATCAGCAATACATAACATGGAATTGCATTCTTTCAATAAAATTGAACAGCTCAGCACAGATGCCCATATAAATTACATACTCAGATGAATCCAGAATGACATCGCATTGGCTTGCTCTCGCCGAAGGTCCCTATTATGAAGCAACGGCCCCTTCATCTCACCTTGATTACACAACGCCACAAAAACATTAAGTGTCAAAACCACATCTTCATCTTTGCGGTTTTAAATTGCTGTTTCCTCGCAGCTACGTTTTTTTAATTCGGTCAGAGGAGTGTCGAGACATTTCACTCAGTCTCAGCGTCTTTCCAGGCTTCTAAGAAATATTTTCGCTAACCTACCATCATTGAGTGTGAAGAGATTCACTGCGACTCTAATTTATTTGTCATTTTCTATGGCTACTCAGACCTCATGGATAGACTTAAATATGTTTTGTGGAATATAAAAATCTTAAGTTTGTAGTTACATTTTTTCACAGTCCACTTATTTTTGGTGATCAGTGGATTTGAATCTGAGCTCAACATCAGAATCTTAATATTTACAGACTTACAAATCATATCACCTTGCCTCAACATTTAATGTTTTTGATCATGTTATTGTCCTGAGTAACGCAGTAACATACGTCAGCTGTGAAGCCATTGGAGTGTGAATTCACCAGGCAACTTCACAAACTCTGTTTCTCTCTGCCACTACTAACAGCGTGAAACACGAAAAATTAAGATTTGAATGTAAAAGTTCAATGTAAACTTTATTTAAAAAATATATGTATTCATTATTTATTTACTGTATATCCATAATCTGCTCTGGTACAGACGTAGGATCTTTTGGATCATTATTGTGTGTGTGTGTGTGTGTGTGTGTGTGTGTGTGTTGTGTGTGTGTGTGTGTGTGTGTGTGTGTGTGTGTGTGTGTGTGTGTGTGTGCATGTGTGTGTGTGTGTTTTTAACACAGGTATATATTTCCTTTTTCTTTCTTCATTTCTCGTCATTTTAGCATTGACTTGGGAGCTAAGCGCTAATGTGTGTCGTTAAATGACTATTTTAAATATAAAGGTGTCTTCTCAACTTTGTGTAATCTAATGTAGGCACTGTGTGCTAATAAAAGTTTTTTATTGCAGTTTCTGTTAAAAAAATATAGCAAATCCACTCAGATTAGATCCCCCACCAACCCATCCTGACGAGGATTATATTTTTGAATTGAATTAATTACTTAAGAAAGAAGATAAATAGCATTATGTTTTTAATGTCTTCATGTTATGAGTATGAGATGCGTCTCTTAGATCAGGTACCGCCCTCCTGGTATCCCAGCCCTGTTTCCTGTCTGGGTTTTTATTTTGGTGTGACACTACAACATCATCACTGGCCCCCATTTAATCCCACCTTAAAAACTTTCTGGATACACCCCTGCTCGGCAGTCTCAAGGAGGAAATTTTATGCTAATATAAAAATGTCTATTCCAGCATTAATGCCTCTAAATATTCTAAATGTGACGCTCTAAATTATTTGAGGACTGTATAATGATCTGTCAGCACCAGAGGAATCAGTGCTATTTGAGAGCAGATTTTTGTAGAACTCTCAGAAAATATTTAATTCTTGAGAGACATTAAATGGTTTACCACTGCAGTCAATATTTGCTGATTTTTTTTGTCTTTAATCGTTGAAAGAAGATTTGTAAAGAATGTACTGTGATCAACGTTCTCAAAGCTCTCTGTCCAGAAATGTGTCATTACCTCAGAAATCCTACATAACAGTAGATTTTTATTCAATTTTAGTGTTTGGACTTTTTCAAAATCTTTCAGGTTTTTTTTTTTTAATCTTGCAACTCTGACAATGTTTGGAAAATATACAGTTCAGGCGGTTTGAACTATAAATAAGTAGCAATGTTTATTCATCAACATTTATTCGGTTTTCTTTTTTTTACCGAACTCAACGCAGATTAATTATTGCATTTCTTTTCCAGATATTTGGGCATTTTAGCTTAGGAATATTCCTCGTTTTGCTTCAATGTAAATAAATGTGTTCCCTAATAACACCATTATTTGTTACCCTGTCTCAATGTCAAAGCTATTTTCAGTAGCATGCAGAGAAAGGAAAGTAGTTGTATACTGGAGAAGCCTGGTTGTTGCCGACCTGCACAACTCTGCTCGACTCTAATCTCTCTTACAGCTCCTAAACAGTCCTTTCTCCCATTGACTTGGATTCCTCCAATCCTGGTTTTTCAAAATATTATGCAGTGATAAGAACAGCAAAACAGAAACTAAAAACAAAGGCTTGCCAGTCATCTACCCGAATGAAGTTTAATTTCAAAATTGGATGCAAAATATTTTAATAGGGATTTGAATGACAAAAAACATTGACTAAGATTTGTGTTGCTGATAATCTAATGTTATGTTCTGAGATAGTTTTCAAATGACTATTCATTTAGCCATTTACTGAAAAACTGCAGAATATTTTGGATTAGAGGCCAAACATCTTCACAAAACAAAGACTAGTTGCCTTCTGCTACAGTTCTTAGGATTTAGTCACTTTACTATTACAGAATATTTCTTAAAATGGAGTTTTGATTTATTTTTGACAATCCAAATTAATAGGTTTGTCAAATTGTAAGTGTTTTGTAATTACCTTTTTATTCTCCTGCAGTGTGCATGTTTCGTGTTCTTTTTAAAGACATCTCCGCACCAAAAATATTGATATGCAAAAGAAAAAAATAAAAATCCTTTTGCAATACAGAAAACAACCTACTTTATAAAAGGGCTGATAAAAGTGCTACTTTTCAGAAATTAAAAAGATCCAGACAAGCAGAATGAAAAGACACTGAAAGTTAACATACAGCAAGAAAAAAAAAAAAGAGGCTGAAAAAAAAAGCCTTAAACTTGACCTTCACCATAATTCACCATCAGTCTCCCACTACCCCAAATTTGGCCCGGCTAGGTGGACTGTAGTGGCTTTTGTACAAAAATTGAATAAGAAATGATTACAGTTATAATCTCTGCACCGGTGGGCTACAAAATCACTATGTGCTGGCTCCCTCACACTCAATCACAGCCCACAATGGGATGCGTCCAACAAGGTTGCTCTGAGGAAGGGAAACCGGGGCAATTTTCACCCATGAGATGTGCTGTTGACGGCCGCGCTTCTGATTGCAACATGTTTGATTCAGTGGAATAATCTTCATGTCAACACACTGAGCATAATGCCATCCTGGGAGGCTTCTTTAATGTGTTGTGGATTCATTTAACCCAGACTTCAGGTAAACAAAGACATGAGTTAGTTGATTACATTTTTTTTTTTTTGGTCACATTGCCTGAAAACACATTTCTGTTAGGGGTGCACCAATTTATCGGCCAGCCTATTTCTCTGTGCTGATTTTCTTAATTTTGGAAGATCGGTTATCTGACGATTTTTATTAAGAAGCTGATATTATCCACAGATTTTATCTAGCAAGGCAAAGGTCTAAGAATCAACCACTGTCCTCTTTTAAAAGATCGGTGATCTGTGATTGGCCAGAAGACTGCAATCGGTGCACCCCTAATTTCTGCTCATTAGATTAGTATTAGTGTATATTGAATAAGAGTATGCATGGATACTGTGTACCTTTGAGGCCAGGGCTTCAGCACTTTCTCTACACATCCTCTCGATCTGCAGGTTCTCCTGAATCGCGCTGACTTCCTCTATGACTCTCTGAGACACTGAAAAGATCACAGATTGTTTCATTATCATGAAACATCATGAAACGTTGAGCTTTTTTTTTCTGCTGTTATCAATGGATGTTTTTAACACCCTGGCCTATCCTGAGTTTTTTTTTTTTTTTTTTTTTCCCACACTAACACACTGCAAAAAGTTTCATTCACATTAAAGCAGTGATATTAAATGTAATACTGAAAATAAGAAAGTACTGTACCTGAAATGTATGGCTCCGTTCTGCATTATACGAGCAAGAACCGATGCTAATTTGAGAAGCCTTGAGTCTAACAATAGTCTTTCATTACTATGCACTGGCAGCTGTAAATTATTTTCATTTTAGTACATGAGTGCCAGAATCTGTGGAAAAAAATGGAGCGCCACAGAAACCATGCTGACCGATGTCCAGTTGGACGTTCCCAGTCGGTGATGGTTTAGGGGATTGGCATGTCATGTGGTGTTGGTCCACTGGGTTTTCTGACATATTCAATCCAGCCGCCAAGGAGAAAATATTACAGGACTCCACGCTTCCTTCTGCTGACAAGCTTTTTCATTTTCCAGCAGCTCTTGGTGTCGACCCACACTGGCAAACATACCAAAAGCTGTTTCCAGGGTATCTCAGCTGCCGGGGCGTTACTGTCCAGCAAACTGGTCAGTCATCTGAACCCCATAAAGACTCTATGGTGTTATAGATACGTGATGCTTTACGATAGCATGTTTAATACCTGCTTCAATCTAAGATTCAAACCTCATCTAAACGCTTCGGAAAAGAAAAGAAGAACAGTATCATTGCTTTCGAACCCAATGTACCCAGAAATTGGTTCATCCCAAGCAGATAAGCTCAACTCAACGTTCAAACCTCTACACTCTACACAACAAGCAAACAGCAAACTTATAGAGTTAAGAAATATTAATTTAGAGCCATTTAGAGTACTGTTAGATGCAGGCAACCAGGAGTTACAGGTTAAAACTTTAATGATTGTGGGTGTTTCTCTGCTGAATCCACCATAAAAAGCTTAAAAACATGTTTAGCCAATCACATTTATACTTTATGTTTGATTTCTACACAATATTATATATAAAAAAATATATTTTAAATTCATTTGTCTTTGAAATTGGATTATTTTCCCCACTCCTGCCTCTGCTTAATTGGCTGCTGTGATAGACCAGTTGATATAAAACTGCTTGGGCCAGAATGAAAACGAGGTATTTGAAAAATCCCACCGTCTTAATTGACCTAACTGACCTCCATCGTCTTGTGCCAGGTTTTTGACCTCTGTCAAAAACCTGGCACCATTTTAGATCATTCTTTCAAATCAGAGAAGCCGTGGAAATCCTTTGTCAAGACAAATTTTTATCAGTTATAAAATTTAAGAAAATTCTTTACAGTTTCGATAAGTACATTTAACTCTGCATTGTTACCAAACGATCATCTCATTGTGGGTCTCAATTGGTCTAAAATGCTGCTTAATCAACAGGTAGTAAAATGTATGATCAGATTATATCAGTGCAGTGAGTCACAACGATCAACCCTATAAATTTTTTTCACCTATATAACAAAAAATAGGTGTAAATAAATTAACATAAATATGGAGAGGGTGTGATACAATATTATATTTTTATAACTTACATTTTATTTTTCAAACCAGTATTAGGCAGATGTTAAAAAAACGTTACAAATTACTTGACGGTAAACTTGCTATAAACAGTTGAAAACTGAAATGTATTTGTGCAGCAAGAATTGTCCCCCCTCCCCCCTACAGAGGTAGCAGCACTGCTGTGATCTCTGCTATCAACATGAATTTGTTTCCAAAGCTTCGCATACACACTTCAAATGTTTTGCCCCCGCCGTTTAATTTCCCAAGCCGATTCCCCTTACCAGCTGAATGCTTTGCTGTGACCACTTTTGTGCAGGCAGAATTTGAAACAGGGCCCCACATGTCAAAAGATGGAGCAAATAGTTTGCCTTTGTGACGCTGACAGTTGTGTGGATTTTCATTTGAATAAATCTGGCATGTGCCTGTGTGTTCAATGAGTCTCCAGCCCAAACACATATTGTGTTTGACTTACACATTAATAGTGGCTGCCTCACTGTGCCAAGCAGCTGCATATTAGGGCCTATTACGTGATTTCATAGCTCTTAGAAAATTGCTCCTATTCACAGCGAATCGGCTGGGGTGGGGCAGTGGGGCTGATGGGGGACTGGGTGGAGGGTGGGGGGAGGTAGAAGGACAGGAGGAAAAAGCCTGCAACACACAATCATGCCTTTTCAACCGGAGATGGCAAGGTTGATGACAACATGACCATTGTGTTATAATGATAACACCACAAAGGCATCTGCCCTGCTCATCAAGGCTTTGCAGAGGCAGCAGATACAATTTAATTCACTGCTCTGTTGGCGGCGCTGATACCATTATGTGGCGCGTTGGCACGCGGTAATCACTGTCTTCCTTGAGAGCAAAATTAAAAAAAGCAAAAAAAAAAAAAAAAAAAAAAAAAAAACGGGAGAGAAAAAAGATGGAGTGATGATGATGATGATGGGGAAGCCAAACTTACAATTAAGACTTCCACTTCGGAGGTGTCAGGGCCCCCCACCACCACCCCTGTCTGTGGACTTGCGCTCATGCACTTGCAACGCTTAAAGTACTGTTTATGTACCATGGCTACCAGTAATTATAATTAACACATCATTCAGCCGTAAGTGTATTTTCATCGGTGGCTCGGTCTGGCCGCCGTGTTGTTGAAACAGACAGACCGGGACAGCGCACATTTTTTTGTCTGCAATGACAACTGGGTGACGCCGACAGCTTTTTGTACGGACTGCCGCTGTGGACAGCAGATGTACATCACCACCCTGCGCTACTGGTGTTCATCAGTTTCTTAATTAGGTGTCACCATGGTAAAGGAATTGCCCACATCAGTGGCACTAATGCTTAATTTCTTCCTCGCTCGACCCTCGTGTTTAATTAGTTTAATGGCGGACCGGGTGGGGCGGGGAGGGGTCCTCGTGCGAGCAAAGCTTTAAACGTTACGACAGTTTGTCACAAATGACGTTTGCGTTGATATTTCAGCGCCAAGAGACGGAATGTCGACCTGAGAAATACCTCCGGATAAAAGGTAAGTGTCTATTTGCATATTGGTGAGTGAAGTCGATAGTTGGCTCTCTGCTCTCAAGAGAAACTCTCTAAATACCTTCGTGTTCTTAGCTGCTGCTTGGGAACCGGCCGGCCTCGGTTCCCTCTGCTGTCTCTGTAAGGCGGCCTGTGTTTCCATGGTGACGCGTTCGGGTAAACACCGTGCTGGAAGGGACACTTAAGACCCATCTTCATTGTTCACGTCCAACTTTGCAGTCTCCGTACGGCGCGTGGCCCTGCCCACTGCCCTTTCACGCAGTGAGGTTGTCTCGTGTCCTCGGTCCACGGACACTCTGACAGCACCGGGCTTCTGTCCGACTTTGGTCTTGGCCTCGTCTCAACACGACGTTTCACGTCAAGCCTTCTCTGAGTCTTTCTTGATGTGTTTCTAGCTAGCTTAAGTTGGCTGCACGGTTTCAACAAATGAGACGTTTAGGGATCACGTGAACACACAGGGTTCAGCGAGAAGGCCGAGAAACACACACATATTAGCGTTTAGGTCTTTTAGGAAAGTTCGGGTGAATGATGACTGAATGTTCTTCTGGGAAAAAAAACAATAAACATTTAGTTTTCCTTTTAGGGCGAAGCTAAACTGACTCTTTGCTAAGCTGCAAAGAACTCAGATAGAATGTGTTCAAAATGAACAAAATGGTTCCTTTTGTTTAAGATTTTCTTTTGGTGCTAGACTATGGTTTCCAAAAGGCAAAGTTGATTTGCTGCAACAAGTCAAAATATGAAATAGAAAAATGTGTCAATACTCATGCACATATTGAAACTTGTGCATGGGATGTTCTGCAGAGGCCACAAAAGCACCTGTTGGATGTTGTTTATTTTTCATAACAATGAATACATGTGAATAGTTATTGCATCTGCATCACCTGCACAATATTAGACATTCTGGCAACTACTTAGGAGTCTGAAAAGGTAATTTATTTGTTACAAGACAGAAGAAGAGGGATGAGATAATGCAGATTAAAAATGAAACACTTCAACATAAGTCTTCCAGTGCTCACGTCAAATGATGAACAAAAAATACCAGTAATTGCACTGCATATCTCACAGAACATCACTGCAAAGATTTCTTTCTTTTTTCTTCCAAAATTGAAATTGCACTACTTTTTGCAAATCCCTCAAAATGAATGATGTCAATCCCACAATGCAGGCTGTATAAATGTCAGAAGAGCCTAAAATATAAAACGCTGTACATCCAAGACCTCTACTGGTGAAAAGACTCACCCATCTGGAACTCAGTGAGTTTCTCCACAGCCTCGTTTCTCTCCCTCTGCAGCTTTTGCCACTTTTAGAAGAAAAGGAGACAGAGTATGCTTCAAAAACGACGCTAATCTTATATCAATTGACAATTTATAAGTGAGCCTATAATAATAATACTCAGGAAGACATTTTCTTTACAGTCAACTAAGAGGAGTTTTTTTTTTCCTGCTATTTTCCCCAAAATCATTTTTTTAAAGCCTCTCAAGAAATTATTTAATGTGAAATTGTACAATCTAAATCACACTGACTGAAAAAAAAACGATATTGTGCGTTATGGACAAAATGTTAAGTTTTAATGATCTGCAGATCATTCAAAAAAGACAATCAAACAAGCTAATTGTGTCGGTTTCCTCTATGAGTGGTTTTTACAAACAGTATTTCATGGAATCAGTGATGTGCAAAGTTTTTCCACTTGTTTTTCCAATTTCAATCATTTCAAAATTTTGTTAAGGCAAGATGATGTTTATATTATAACAGTAGATGGTTGGTTTTTCCCACATCATTGCCAATAATGCTCAGTTTTCTCTTTGCGCAACTGTAATGTTTAATTAGTTTAACAGCATGGCACTTCATAGGGGCATTTTTGTGTGAGTGTAGCTTTAAACAATTTAACAATTTGTATTAAATAGTTATAAATAGCTGTTTTCAAATTCAGAAACAAGATAAATGGTATAATGATATTATTGAAGGAACAGCCTGTCTGTATCAAATTATATTTTTATAGGAACATTACTTCCTGGTTTCACTGGTTTCAAACTATTCAGCATTAGACCTACTGAATGCAATGCATTCAGTAGGTCTAATGCTGAATAGTTTTTAGAACTTATAAATTTTAGAACGGCTTCATTGACATTACTTTAGTATGTTTAAATCAAGCTTGTAGGTAAAAAAATAATAAAAAAAACAAACTAGGGTTGTTGTTTTTTGCAAGTATCAAAAATATTACAGATTCTTTTTTATGCGTTCATAAAACGCATACAAATGAATCTTCTGACCAGAAATGTTATCGGAGAAACATGTTCTGATTTTTATTACAGTTTTGCTACAGATTCAATTGTTCACTGCAAAGTAGGGATGCACCAATTTATCGACCAGCCGATTTATCGTGCCGATTTTCCTAAATTTGGAAAATCGGTTATTGGCTGATTTTTACACGTGAAGCCGATCTTAACCACCAATTTTATCTACCTTGGCACAGGTGTTTAAATCAACTGTTGTCCTCTTCTGCTCTGCTGTGAAAGAGGTTTGACTAGCAGACCAGTTCATCAGATCAAGTCTATATGTTTGCAGTTAACAATAGTCAACTCATTGTTGGCTACATTTAGCAACATTATAGTGAAAGGAAAAATCGATATCGGAGAAAATCGGAATCGGCAGGTCAGGATTTTTAATAGATCAGTAACCGGTGATCTGTCAGAAAACTGCAACCGGTCCACCACTATTGCAAAGCAAGCTAATTACCAAACTGTCAATATCTGAACACTTACGGTTCCATCTGCAGTCTCCTTCTCCTCCTCCTCGTTCTGCTGGGCCTCATCTAAACGCAGCCCTGTGTGAAGTAAAGGATGCCAGTAAGCCATCTTCATCAGAATGGTAAAAACATCTGTAGGAAACCCAGTGCTAACATCATGTTTAAATAGATTTAGAGCAATACTCATGCATCATGTGATAACTTCTCAGCAAGCTGTACTGGTGACTCATGTCTCAAAATAATTATAGAACAACAGGCGGCGAGGTAGAAGGTCGCTGCTCCTTCCAATTATTCCAAGAATCCTCTTTTTGCAAAATGACTCAACGCTCCAACAGTAATAACTGACAGTGATTTTTGTGCAACAGCTCCAGGAAGACCAGAGCAAAGATGACATCAAGAATAACCACGCAATCTAAGTTGACAAACTTTGGACCGCAAAACGTGGAGCTTAACACAAACGAGACCGGCAAAGAAGTTAGCAAGGAGTCGAGCTTTAGCAATGAAGCTGGCAAGGAGCTAACAGCTAGCCAGGATGAAATGAATAAGTTATCTCAGCAACAAAGCAGAGATAACGGCAGCACTTAAGAACATAACGTTTTCTGCACGATTTGATGGCATTATGACAGCCATGGAAATACGATTTCATCATTAGATTGGTGAATCTAAGATGCCTGTGGACTCGTGGACAGTTGGATAGCGGACGTATTGGATTCTTGAAAGAGCTCGTCGCTCGTCGCATAGGACTGCAACACCAAGAAGGGTAATTACTATGTTTCTTAGCTATTGGCAGCAAATATGATATTCAAAGCCACCAAAGTAAAGATGCACAACCTCTATAACAAATGTATCAAACTCGAGGCCCACAGCCCAAATCTGAAAAACTGTAAAATATGAACAGATTAACAGGTAATTTTATCAATACATTCTGCCACAAGCAGCCCATTGATGTCGATGGGGTCCGAAATGAAAGCACCTTTGACCCCTTCCCTCTCTCCCCACTCAAGAAGAACCAATGGGTGAGATTTGTCACCACAGAGGTTCACCAGCAACACTATGATTGAATATGACTGAATCCAATACATACTTCACTACAAGAATATACTTTTTGGTATGAACATTGCTGAGTTCTTAATATACCAAGAAGTACATAGTCTATTATATTTTGAATGTACTGGTTAAAAAAATATATTGAATGCTGTTCTGAAAGATTTACCTTTGTGTGGCAAGTCTGTAATATTCACGGTGAGTCCCTCTTCAGCCATGGTGAGAAAGTCTTGAACTAACCGGAAGCAAGTTCCTCACTTGCTACACACCAGCAAATAGAAGGCAGATAAGGAGAGTGGGATGGGATTACAGTAGAGTACAGTCCAAGTGTAATAAAATGCAGCTTGTCCCTCCGAATCTCTTAACCATCGTAAGTAATTTGATTCACTTGTGCAAGGAAGTATGTCCCCTTTCAGTTCTAGAAGTTTAGTGAAAACCAGTGATTTGGTGTCTAGCCAGGGTCATTCGGTAAATAATGACACTTAATGCAAACCTGACACTTTTAATTCACGTTCTATGCAGTTTTTTATAGAACTTTGCATTAAAAGGGTCAGTACTGACTGAATAATGCACATTTCACACTCTTAATAGACTTTTAAATGCAACTTTTAAAGCAGCTTTGCATTAAAACTGCTATTATTTGCTGAATTTCTGACAACAGTCATAAACATTCATAAAGACTCCTTCATATTCATGAGTTATGTCACTCTAATTCACACCCCTTCAAATAAAGTGTTACCAAGAATATTATTATGATCATGATGACGCCTGGTATATTATACTTAGTGTTTACTTTTTGCAAAGCATGCCTTGATAAAAGCATTCCATTTTGAGTGCTAAATTATAATCATAAACTACACATGGAGTTTCTCTGGATTAAATAATCTTAATACTGTCGGCAACTCTGCAGGGAACAGACAGAAATGCTGTGTTTTGGTTGAAATCTAAAATGGGTTCCTGCGGTGCAGGTTTGAGAATCGATTATTTTAAAGAGGTTGGATCAGAACCGGGCAACTTCAGAAGATCTACTGTCAGCTGGTGAATCAGGTCAAAGCAGAGAAAGTTCCCAGAATCCCATAAAGATTTATTGACTATATGATGCATGTATACTGTTTTTTTTTTTTCAAATCTTCACAATATAGTACAGTCCAGTATTACCAGATCTGACCTAATTGATAAGTTCAAAGGTTGAATACTGATCCTATTAAGATTATTTCTGTCACACTTCGTACAATGCAAATGATTTGTTTAGCCGTTCCTTAATGTCTCATGGCGAACATAAGACATTTATGATGAAATGAGATTAATAATTAAGCCGTCGAAGCTGAGCTGAAAGTGGGAGGCTGTCATATGTACTTTGAACTGCTAACCTCCTTGAGAGCAGCCTGTGTTCTGAGTTTCTATTGAAAGCATCTGGAGGAAGAACCAATGTTTCACAAACTGGTCAACCAGAGCAACAATGCACTAAAGTGACATTATTTACAAACTAATACAAAGTTGGCACTTTTAATGGACTTTTAAAGCACCTTCGCATTAAAAGTGGCATTATTTACCGAATGATGCGTCATGACAAGTCAAACATTCATAAAAACTCCTTCATGTTCATAACAGATGTTATGTTTGTCAGCATCATGTCAGCCTTCTGCACACCCTGTCAAATAAAGTGTTACCAAATATGCTTATTAAAAATGTCACTGACGTGACAGTGAGACATATATGTAAGAAAACCAAAAAAATTCAAGCCTCTCTCTCTTCCATGTAGTCCTGCTGCCATCTGCAGAAAACATTCCACCCAGGGAGAAACAGCCAATCAGAGCAAGGAGGAGTGAGTTGCCACTTTCCTGCAGCTGTGCCATTAGTGGAGAAACAACTTACCGTTACAGGAGACAAGCATATCTGCTGCTGAATCGGCAGTAAATTCTAAGTAGCCAAAAAGACTTTGCCAGTAGATTCTACAACTGTGCTGTTCTCTTCAACTGACTGGTGAGTTTCCACAAATAACATTTAACATGCCTATAAACATGTTTTCTCAACAGTCCATACGAAATGCTAACGTCTCAGATTGCTGCCAGTTTAAACGCTCCTCATTCAGATAAAATGAATATCAAGTTAGACTTCAAAAATATCAGAAAAACACCATTGACAGCTGAATTTAGAAGTCAGCATTTGACACTTTAACTTTATTAGCTCATTATTTGTTCAAAGGTATCTTTTCTTTTGGTTTCTGAACAACTAATTCTTGTGCATCTCAAGCAGCTACACCTTCCACCAGATCTTGATTTTGAAGGCTATTTTGTTTTTGTTTTTTTCTTTCTGATTCTGTGTTTCAGTGTAAGATCATCATAAATATAAACTTCTATACCTACATTTTGGTTCCAAGAATCTGGCAGATCAGCTGCTGAAGTGAAAAATATGCACCGATTGGTTCCTATATGTTCAGAAAAATAAAGTTGATTTCAATACAATGCTGAACTGTTAAATCAGCATTTTATTCATTTCTCCTCACATTAGTAGATATAATTTTAATAATGATTAATTTAACTTAAGAGATTTTCACAGATTTATCCAACGTTGATGGTGAATGAGCTTTTTGTCAGATCCCAGAACAAGCAAATAATTTATTCCAAGAGCTTTTCTTTGATATCATGGAAAGACTTCTTGATTTGAAACATAAACAGTATGATCTGTTGAAAGCATTTCTATTGTGAACAATCAGGATGTCGTTCTGATCTGATAACTAACTTAAATGTCAAACAAAAACAGAAGCTAATGCAGTTCAAGAAAGAGGAACAGCAAAGGGTTTACATATTAATTTATTCACATACACATGCTCACAAACGGCTATAACTGCACAACAAATCATTTTTTTTGCACACAGTTGGGAATGTTCATTATATGTTTATATCATCTTATCGACAAAAACTTAATGTAATGTAAACTTACACCTTTATGTGATAGGGGCCAGTGAGCCCATAAAAGGAAATATGGGAAAACATACAACAAACTTCTGATCCGTTTCATATCCACATCTCTGGGTGGATTTTCTTAAGAGGTTTGAATTTGATGCGATTGGAAAAAAACCCAACAAATTAACAGCAGCTTTCTGCAAGCAACAACAACAAAAAAACAAACAACACAAAAAAAAAAAAAACATGACGATAAAAGCATTTTCAGTTAATAGCAATATGGTACTAGGAAGTTGAATCAATGACGTTTAAATTTGTCCCTTAATTTAGAAATATAGATGCAACTTTCTTTACCTGGTTTGTTTCTGGAGTCAACGTGTGTTGATCGACAGAAGGTTATAATAAATAAGGACTGATCTCAAACTACTATGATATGTTCACCAGTTTGCACTTAAAAACAGATACTAGAACCACCAACACTTTCCACTCTTGACTGGAGAATACAGATAAACTACAGTACAACCACATATTGGAAAGGTCTGTCCTCTTCCTGAATGAGGGTGAGGGGAGGGTGGAGGTGCTGAAGGCGGAGGTGATTTACAGACAGAGTTGACCTGGAGGCGAAAAGTGAAGCTTGAGATAAGACAAGCCGAGGCTTGACGACCCAAGCTGTCGAGACCACCAGGGTGAAAGATTGTAGGTGAGGAGAAAGGGAGGGAAAGAAAAAACAAAAGGAGGAGAGAGGCGGACCTGAACGAGCCTTAGTGGCGAGCGGCAGATTCTCTGGGGTAGAACTCAGCCAAGGTACTCTGAGGAATCCTCTTCAGCATCTCCTTGGGGAAAATTCGCAGCAGCTGCCAGCCGATGTCCAGAGTCTCGTAAACCGTCCTGTTGTCGTACGGACCTGAGGGAGACCGGGGCCACAGACGTTAACCACACAGAACCCCATACGCCACATCCACTCAAACAGTTCAGAGAGGCAAGACGGTGGCTGAGCAGCAAACAATTATACGTTTAGTTTTAAACCCAGATCAAAGGCTGATTTCAAAGATCTAGAGATCCAGGGACTTGGCCAAAATTTAAGGGCAGAAATTTACAATGCACAACTTCATCACAAGTTATTGTTCTTCGTTTCTTACCCTGAGCAATAAAATTCTTCTCAAACTTCTGAAGGAACTCCAGATAGAGGAGATCATCAGAGGTAAGGGCCTCCTCTCCCACTACAGCCTTCATGGCCTGGACGTCTTTACCGATGGCGTAACAGGCATACTGGAAGCAAACACAGGAACTCATCATGGTCTTGATGGCTGCTCACTGGCCACACCTTAAACCAGCGGTGCCTGGAGGGCTGGCATCCTCCACGTTTTAGCTCTCTCCAGGGTTTAACGATCAAATGACGGCTTATCAGGAGGTCTAAGAAGAACCTGCTGAGGAGGTTGTTGGTACCACCAGGGAGGAACTAAAACGTACAGGTGCCCAGACGGGATTTAGACGGGATTTGTTACCAGCTGGTTGGACACATCGGCGTGGTCTTTCCTGGTCATCCCTTCGCCGATAGCTGACTTCATCAGACGGGACAGCGAGGGCAGCACGTTAATGGGTGGGTAGATCTAAAACACAGTGTGCAATGAGCAGGCAGGCCCCTGATGTAAAAATCTATGATTCAAGTCTGTTCTGGGAAACTTTACAAAAACTTCAGCATTCATGTTCACCAATTGGACGCTTCAAACAGATGTGCAACTGGTGGGACTGATTCCCTGTAATGAAATTCCACCTAGCCCAGTCGCAATAAATCACCTAATCCATTAATGATGATTGAAAACAAGTTCAATGATTCCCATTTGCATGATTTATCGTTTTTCTCTGTCACTTTTTCTACCAAAATCTGAATGATAAAAGTCTTCCGTTTTTATCATTCCAGCCCTTTCTTTGAAGCGCAGCTTTGTTTACATGCTTCAGAATTAATTGCATTTGTTGTGTATTTATTTTGGATATTTAAAATTACTTCCTGTTGCAGTGTTAAATGTTCTTTAGGCTTTACAATAAATCTTATTAATCTTTGACAAAGGGTTCTTGCATTATTACGCCATTTCCATTACATTACTTTAAAATGGTCTAAAAACAACAATACTATTGTTTATCACAATAACTCGTGTCAATTTATCGCCAGCAAAATTTATCTGGACTAGCCAAATCACAGATAAATAAGGTTCAGAATTTTGGTTTGTTTTAGGCGACGAAGAGCAAGAAATGTTCATGTTATATGAAGAACTTCTGAAATTCTCCTACCTGTCTGTTGTGCAGCTGTCTGTCAACGTAGACCTGGCCCTCTGTGATGTATCCAGTGAGATCAGGAATTGGATGGGTAATGTCTGGGACACAAAACCAAAAGTTCCCACAATTCAAGATGCGCCTTGAAAAAATACATACAAACCCCAGCTGTATTCAACAACTGTGGTAGAAGAAATATTTGACTAAATTAGACAATCGTGCTTCCTAGTAGTGCCGGGGGAGGCTGGTCAAACCGTAGTCTAAATAAACTCCCAAGAGCTTCGGGGTGTGTTGTTGCTGCTGCTCACCGTCGTTGGGCATGGTGAGGATGGGGATCTGGGTGATGGAGCCGTTCCTTCCCTCTACTCGCCCGGCACGCTCGTAGATGGTGGCCAGGTCAGTGTACATGTAACCGGGGAAGCCTCGGCGGCCGGGCACTTCCTCTCGAGCAGCAGAGACCTGACAGAAAAAAAAAAAAATGATATTTTGTCAGAGAACACAAGAAACCATTACTTCTCAGTTAAATCTTCTCTTCAGTCACTTTCTGTCCTCCCACTGAGCTCTGTGCCGGGACTGATTCAGAGTTTCAGATAAAAAATAAAATTCTATCAAGACAAATGAAAAAGGAAAACAGCTTAACATTTCAAATAATGTCCTTTATTAAAGCTGATGTATGTAACTTATTTTAAAAAAAGTTTTTTGCATATTTGTTAGAAATATCACAAACTCATGACTGTACAATATCATGGCATAAGAGTACAAAATTGATAACATTTATTCAAAGTTTCTTACTTTGTTGTTTGAGCCAACAACTATTCCAGAAAAATAATTTAAATCTTATATTTGGTGGGGGGGAGTTATAACTTCTTAATGAAGCATCATCAGAGGCTAACATCCGCTTATTCATGATGTAAATTTTGCTTTCAGAAGCTCCGCGGAAATTACCGCAAAAAGCTGACATCAAGTCAAGTGAAATGGGAGTAAGAAGGTAAGAAAATGCATCCCATTTATCCTTGGATTCACAGGTTAATGGGCACGGTGCACTCGTGAACAGTCGACTCAATGCGACAAAACTCAACCTTCACATATGAATGAGAATGGAAGTAAGTGATGATGTCCTGGCTCTTTGTATGGACTGAATTACCCATGAAGCTGTCTGGCTATTAGCTGACAAATGCTGCAGCTGTACACAGACCAAGGTTATGGCCAACCACCACAAAAAGGGAACATGCACGTACAACATTTAAAGACCTCCATTTTGCCGGCGACGCATTGAGACGGTGAACAGTACGACACGGGAAGGAGGATTCCAGCGCCACAATGGGCAGAGACGAGAGGCTTGAATTCTGCTCAGGTTCCTGAGAATTCATTTGTTTTCCCTCCGTGTGCTCTCAGTCAGGTCTTTTGTGTTGAAGTTTTTCAGTTTCGGACCATGTCTGGCTTTATTCTCCCCCTTAGAAATTCCGCAAATTAAACATTTTAGTTTGCTCGTTTGTTTTGTGTGAAACGAGACAAAGTGTTTTACTGCAAAGTTGTTTCTTTACTTTTCCCAGAACACTAAAGAAGAGTGGAAATACACACCAAAGAAAGTCCACACTCTGTACAAAATAAAACTGTTCACCAAAGTGGAAGAGCGTATAAACGGAGGAGAAATCCAAGGTTTCTTACTTCAGTAGTTCCACTTACAGAGTCTCAGCTCTGTGGAGTCATCCACTCCCTGAGCTTTGCACAGTGGAATTCTTCATACATAAAATAGATCCTATTAAAAATGTAATT